AGAGAAAAAAGAAACTAACAAGTAGAAACTTGTGACGTCAAGTTTTATTTTAAAGGAAAAAAATTAAATGTATCCTTGTCATTCAAGTTAATTGTGCAGTGGTATTTGACAGTATAAGGAAGGATGAGTGTTTCGTCCTATTTGTGACTTGTCAGTCGGTTGCAATTACTCTTGAGTGAGTGGTAGTGTCCCTACTGATACTTGAGTATACAGTATACTACTTCTCTTGAAACTTCGTAGCGTTATTCAACAGGTTACGGGAGCCATCTCTCATACGACTCCATTGCGTTCGGTTCTCTGCTAACGTTTGCACCTGGCTCCATATCTACCCACATGCTTTCATCCCCTCTTCACATAACCTCCTCCAAGTTACCCTTGGACGATCAACTCGCTGCTTCCCTTTCGGGTTCCACTTGAGCAATGGCTTGTCTAGTGATGTCACTTGATGGTTTGTTTCCTCAGAGTATGGCCCTCAATCCTCGCTCCATTTCTTCCTGCTTATTTGTTGCACAATCGGTTCCTGCTGGGTTGGTTCGCTCCCAGAGATCCCTGTTGCTGATCTTTCCTGGCTGGCCGTCTGATCTTGAGTATTGAGCGAACACAGCTGTTGATGAAGGTCTGAAGTTTTTTCTAAGTGCACTACGTGACGCGGCGCCAAGCCTCTGATTCGTATAGTAACACTGACTTCACCTTGGAGTTGAAAATCCGGATCTTATTTTTCATGCTGAGGAGTGCTGTTGATTTCCACACAGACTTGCTTTCCCGATCCCTGCTGATATATATGTATAAGACCGAGATTGATCAGTTTAATTTTAGTGTATTGGCTCTTCTTGAAATGATACTTCGATTTTTATCAAGATTTACAACTTAAAGTTACTTGTTCTGTAGTGGTATCCAATCAAGGAGATCATTTACCACGTAAGACTGATCATTATATATCTATTGATTTTATCACGAACTTAGCACGTAATATGAGCAACAAAAGATGCTCCACACAAAATCTCATAGTTTTTGCGAGAGCTGAGACAATGCCCAGACGCCCAGACAGAAGCTAGTCGTTGTCTTTTCGGAGGTTTATTTGCCTTACGAGACCTTTGACTTGAAATCCGATCCACAAGACAGTGGAACAACCTTAGGGGGTGCTTCCCCTTGGTCGCCAATGATCGAAACAGGTTCATACGCAGTTCGTTCCGGTTGGATTCTGGAACTCATGTACACCACCATAAGTTTGGAGCCAGGGTAATCCTGCTCCGCTAGGTAAAATTGCATGGTGATGAATCTGGTTGTAAGAACCAGATATTTGCACATTCGCCTTTTCATTTTTGTGAGAAACACTCTCATCGCGTAAAAAGCTAGGGAACAGGATTTAACTAGCACAGGGTATGAAAACATTTTGAGAGGAAGAACGCAGTCTACGTACATTCGGTCATATCTGATTGTTTATGGGGGCAACGAGGTTGAGCAATCTGACTTGTATATATATTGTCTGAGAATCACAAACATGAACAATAAATACCTACTTGTGATGAAGATGACTGTCAACAGTGTATAATCGCTGTACTATAATAGTAATAATAGTCACTTTCTGAAGGCAATTTTCAACACTTGAGAAACATTTTTGGTGGTAACTGAATGTCGCGTTTAATATATTTCCGAATGAGGTTTTTTTTCAAAATTTAAAAAGAAATATATATTACACATTGTCAGGTAGCGTGATGATCATGAAACCGTCTGTCTCGTTATTCATCCATGTATAGTAGCAGTAAAAAGTCTAGAATTATGGTTTTAAGCCTGTCGCTTTTAAAAGCTTATTCCAGTTTATGCTGTGGGTCTTGAAAAAGTCAGTGTAAACCCTAAAAGAAAAAGTAATATCTTGTAAATATATTTTGCTTTCATGAGAAAATATACTATACGTCTCTATTGGATACCTTGATTGTGTACATTCATTCTTTCAATCTTTTTCTACAATAAAAGCTTTAATCCGTTGCATGCGTGTAGAGAAAATACAAAACGATTTTATAAAATAAGCATGTTTATAGGAGCTGTGAACTAATTTTAAGATTACTACCCTTCTTTACCTAATTAACTTAAATAAGATCATTCAGTTAAACTCTCTTCTAATATTCCTCCTCCTTTTTTCTATTTGACTGTAAGATTTGGAAGTGTTTTCTCGTTGGTACATGCTTGTATTTTATACAATGGGATGTTCTTTGTTAATTGGTAACTACAATGAGCTGCTCACTGACGACTGGCCCTATTCAAGTAGGTAGTTACCTGGGGTTCCAGTGGGAAGTCGTGACCAGTAGGGTGAAGCAGGTCGGGTGTGAGGACAAATACGCGCGAAAGACATTGGCTAGCGGTTGCGCTATATCGTGAATTGGCAGAAGTTGGAATTCATGGGCCATTTGATCGGGTCCCAATGGCTTAATGGTCTACGAGCTCGCCTTGTAACCAGAAGGTCCTGGGTTCGAACCCCGGCGGCGGGTGCGTACTGCTTAAGAGTCCCAAACTAGGCGGACGAAACAGCTGTCCAGTACTCCCTACAGGTTTTCCAATGGTTCTCTAACCAATTCGAGCTCATGATGAAATCATGTAACCGATAATTCTCGCAGGTGCACAGCTTCTTTTTGATAAACCTCTAGCATTCGATATCCTTCCTGCAGTCCTTTATAGAGTATTATGTGATTTCCAAGCGCGTTAGCTTGCAGGGATTTGATTTGTTTCAAATTAGATTATGGACATATATCAGTTAGGGAACCGTTGGAAACAAGGGAGTACTGAACAACTTTACCTTACTAGTTTACAAACTTCATTGGAGGTTAAACTCAGGACCTTCAGGCTACAAAGTGAGCCCTTCGACTATTATTCACTCTCTGGAACAGAATCTAATGGCCAGCCCATCGGTTCTAACTTGTACCAATTCCTGATATTTGACACCACTAATATTATCGGTGAGTATCCCCTTTCATGCGACTTGATGGATCTGTTTGGTTATGACGTCTCACTACAACTTCAGGTACTCCGTCGTGCAGTCAGTCACTAATGAGCACTAGATTTATTTTTAAAGTAATATATAACTGGTAAGGTATAGATAAGAAACATCGATTTTTCTGGTTAACTAATAATAATAGTATGTTTTTGTTTACAACAATACTAAGTTCATAGTATTGTACACTGTTCTAAAACTGTTTAAATCTGGTTAATTCTGAACTTCTGTAGCCAAGTTTATCAACTTAATATTGATTACTGCTAAAAATGTTTACTTTACACATTTTCATAAGTGAACATAAGTATTTATTAAATAAGAAACTGAAACTTAAGTACAATAAGTGTAGAATCGCTGAGTCGTTCAAATGTTATTCACTAACTTCAGATCTTTTCGAATTCAAGCTAATGATACGCCTCTACGTATTTTTTACGTATCTGTCTTTTTTTCGTCATGCGTCAACTCTTTGCCGTTGGAGCAGACTGAATTCTACCAATTTCCAAGCATTAGTTTGTAAGAATTTTGTTTGATTGGTTGGATGATTGCATCATGAGCTGACATCGGTTGGAGAACCATTGGGAAACCTGTAGGGAGTACTAGACAGCTGTTTTGCGTCAGCCTAGTTTGGAACTCTTCATCACCAGTACGTACCCACCGGGATTCTTATTCTATCAATCAGGTTTGCATTGTGACAATCGCGAGCCTGAATAATGCAATGGTAAAGTCTCCAATTGCAGCAGCACCGAATGACTTGGGTTCCAATCTTAGGAGGCACATGGGTTCGTTCAAGATTACAGACACGTCTTGCTGACTAGTACCAGTAAGCACAAGACCTAGGTCTAATCAAGGCATCCTGCTTACTGCCTCCACTATTTTATATCAGTTCAGAACGCATTGAGATGGCGAGCCATCTAGCATAGTGGCCACATTGCAAACGTGTCTGATAGAATTCAGTCTGCACTGTACGAAGAACTAAACGCATTATATTAGTTACTATCTATTGTTCAACCAAAATAATTATATGATATTATGATCACCTAACTGGTTTCAACACAGAACCTTGCACAGAAGTGCAGCAGTGCGAGTTGTCACACTACTTGTAGCACGCAAAGGAAGATAAAGGAGGGAAAAAAGAGATTCAAAAAATCACCTGTATGCGAAATTATGAAGGAGAAGGAATAGTAACTTGTGGAAACATTATGTTTTAGTGGATATGGTAGACCACGAAGAGTGAATTGATCTGTACCATTGAGAATGATTTTAAGTTGCATCACCAATTATCTCCCGTCATTGGTTCTTAAAATCCCGGGGACCCCAACAACGTAGTTCACACCTCCCTAAATGGCTCAAACTAACTGTTAAAGATTTCATGGACTGATTCCATGGTTGGGTTTAACCACCACTGGCTCTTTTCCAACCTAACCCTAAGTCACCTAACATGTCTGGTTCAGGAAGGTGAAGGCTGGGCATGCGTAACACATGCCCCAACCATCTCAATCGATGTTCCTTCACAACCTCATCGGTTGATTCTCCCTTTTTACCTAACACTCGATATTGCTCATCTTATTATACCATCTATTATGGAAGATAGAACACAGACACCTATGATCAAAGACAGGCAGCCGTTTTTGTCTTCCACTTTTAATAGCTATGTCTCACAGTCATAAAAGAGGACGGAGTGAACTGCTTAGCAGTACACACATCCTTTGGTCGATAGCCGGACGTCATGTCTACGCCAGAGATGGCATAAGTCGTTGGATGCCATACGAGCCCTCCGTATCCGTGCTGAGATTTCGTCAGCGATCAGCCCATTGGGGGCTGATGCGCAACTTCACAAATAAGTGAAGTATTCACAACACATTTTACCACCTTGCTCACTATTTACAAACAGTGTGTATAGTCATCTGTCTGCGTGTTCACTGCATACTTGAATCTCAATTGTTTTCGTTATTTCAGTCAGTATCACCATGTCTGACAAATTATCTTGTGTTAATCTTTTTTTCATTTCTATTAGGATGCTGGTGCTAAACTTCTAAAACGTTTACAGAGAGAATTACTTTCTCAAAGTGAAACGGATACATCTCCAGATACTATACAATTACGCTCTATGTTAGCATCTGTTGGTAAATCTGTTAACCTTCAAAAACCTTTTGGAAAATCAGTTGATAAATCTGCTGGTCTATTACAACTAGAGCATAATTCACCACCATTACAACCACCATCGAGTTCATCGACAATTACATATACTGATACTATCCCATTGCAATCCAATGATTCTTCTTCTTCGCGTATTCATAGAGGTGGTGGTAGTGGTCATGGTATGAGTTTAGCTGGTGGACGCTTTGCGAAACGTTTTGCACACATTCGACGTAGATCAAATACAAACTCTTCAGCGAAACAAATTTTTGGTGTGTCTAGATCTAGTAAATCTAATTATAGGCATAATTCTGAAGCAACTGTTCAAGAAATGAGTAATATCCCATTAGAAAGTGTGAGTTTCTCTTCTTTCCTCCATTATAACATAATATATTTATTTATTTAAACGCATAAAACTTGGTACAGTATGGCACCAAGAAGAATGCGCCATACAATAATAATAAAACAACATAGATCAAAAGAAGAAAAAGAAAGAAGAGAAATATATATATATAAGTAGAGAACGGATAAAGAACTTCATCTGGAAGGAAAACAGTCATGCTTAACAAGTTCAAACAGTATTCGTTAACTATCATCGGGAAGGGAAGAAAGAAGGAAACTGCAACACGTGTGATAGCACGCGATAAGTTTCATTGATTGTTTGTTGCTTTATTCAATTCATTGTGTGAGGGCTGAGATACTGCCCGGGCGCCCAGACCGAAGCAGGTGGTTTTATTAAGGGACCAGCCCCCGAGCCTTTGACTTGGAGTCTAATTCGCAAGGCAGCGGAGCAGCGGCAGGAGCTGCATTCCCATGGTTTCCGGTGACCCATATGGGTTCATACGCCATTTGATCCGATTGGATACTGGAGCCCATGCACCCCATGTTAACTGCTTTTAGTCTAACAGCGATCTAAACAACCTTCCTGACATGGTAGGACCTGCAGGGACATGAGTCCCAGTAAGTTTAGCATGTCGGGTCATTACGGTATTCAAGCCCGACCACCACGGCAAGTTAGCAGTTGTCGGCCGGGCATGATATGTCTATTTTATTCATAAATAATAAAAGTAAAGTAGTCACTAAATTCTTGAGAGATTTATTACAACTGACTGACTGGGTTTCAGCGCTGCACAAAACTGCAGCAGCTCAAGTTGACACAACACTCGCCATATAGCCCACAAAGATAGGAAAAAGAAAGAAAAAAGAAATCTAGTAGAACCATAATAAACATAAATGTACGAGTGAAAGTGTAATAACATGTAAAAAACACGAGGATTCAATGGATCTACGAGCGATTACAAAAAGTGGATGTATCTGCATACTCATTGGTTCTTAAGATCCCAAGGACTTCAACCAACCACAGAGTCGATACCTCCCTACGTAACCTGCTCAAACCAACTGTCAAAGACTTCATAAATTGATGATATGTTTTGGTTCGACCATCCTCGCCGACTCTTTTCCAAGCCAACTCGATGTCAGTTAAAATGGCTCGTCGTGGAAGGTGGTGGATCGACGTGCGCCACACGTGTCCCAACCGTCTCAATCGATGTAGCTTCACAACCTCATTGATTAACTTCCCTTTCCTACAGAGCAATCTATGGCTAACCTCAGAATTACTCACCAGATCATACCACCTAACACATGCGATGATAAAACGTAAACATTTATGGAAAGATGTATTGAGTGAAGAAATATTTTTTTAAACGAAAGTCGTGTTGACTTTTTATCATTCTTATTTTAAATGAACAATTCTAGCGACCCCCCCCCCATAGTAGTTACTGTCTTATTTTACCAAATATTGGGATGTGGCTCATTGGATCAGGCGTTCCGTTTTCTATCGACAGATCACGGGTTCAAGTCCCTACTCCACTTGTGTCATCCTAAACAACTGCACGATTCGTGTGACTCTTAGCCTGGTACATGAAAAATCTGTTCCTGTTAACTGAGCTTTACCACTAACATATTTTACCAAATATTATGGCTGTGCAGCTTTACAATGAAATCGTTGAGAAAGAATTTTTCTTCTATATAAATAAATCTTTGTTCCCCTAGTAGTAGTTTTCTTCTCATCTCTATAACTCAATATTTTAATACTTTCTTTCATTTGTATTTCACGCTTTAGGAATCATCTGATGATCATTCACCAACTGATGCTGGTTTGGAACTTTCTTCTCCACGTGGTCAGAATTCAGTTTTTGACCATATTGGTTTGCATGATTCTGATTTATCTGAAGTGTTGTCTGCAGTATGTTCTACTCCAGACGCTAATCGTACGCATTGTTCAAGAGATCGAGGTGTTTCAGATGGAAATCTTAATTTCAGTATTGATGAAAGCAGAATACAAGAGAAGCTTTTAACCAATTCTATATCGGATTTTACAAATGGTGGTATTAAGTATTCAGAAGCATCTTCACACTGTGCAGACAAAAACCGTTTCAAGCAGGTATGCTTTTATATTTATACGTGACTGTGTTTATATATATATATATATATATATATATATATATATATATATATATATATATATACGTAGAGAAGTGGCTGATTGGTCTAAGGACTAGACTTTCAACTCAGAGGTTCCAGGTTCAAATCCCACCCCACATAATTCTGCCTAGAAAATAAGGCAGAATCATAAGATGGCATACTGTAAATGAAATTAGTTTTTCCTCATTCACACATGAATTATATATTAACTTCTTGGTTAAGTTCCTTGAATGAAATGTTTTTCAAAAGACACATGTCAATATCGTCCAGTGTGACGTAATCAAATTCTCTTACATATATTGTGAGTGAATTGTATATTCAGTTCTTTTATTATTCTGTACATACCAGAGATTATCTTTCAGTAATAAGTGCTGTCCTCTCGAAACACTAGCTTCGGTGGCTCGGGCCATATACTACTAACATTATCTCAGAGACGGTCATCTACCGTTGACTGCATGGTCGCTTTTCGACTGGGACCATGTCGTAGCACTGTGAGACGAAAGGTACTTGTTTTATGTTAGCATCTATCGGTGTATCACGAGTCTGTGGACAAAGTCCGAGAGACAATCTGTATCAGTGACTTCAGAAAAAGCCGAGAATCATAATCAAAGGTAATCATGGTGTAGTTTTCTCCTTCCCCCCCCCTCTTTCTGAAACTAACTTGAAGTAATGAAGGATCCTTTGAAACGCTTAGCATGATGAGCATACTTTCCTTATTTTTGTGATCCTGTTTCTCAATATTCATACTGTTCCCATATGTTGTAACTCATAGTTGTTAGTTCTCATGTGACGCAAGTCTTGGTGTTCATATTGTACCCTTTCTGTGTTTGAATAATAATAATGTAACACAAACTCGTAGGTATACTAGTGAAAACCATCAAGTTGATAGAAAGAGCAACGAAGACACGACTTCAAGTGAACCTAAAGAAGATAGAGGTGATGAAGAAACCCACCAATCAACTAAAACAAGCTCTAATCACCATCAACAGAAGAAATTTTGAAGGAAATAACCTCATTCGCTTATCTAGTCAACATTGTTTCAACTAAAGGTGGCACAAATGAAGATGTTCAAGCCAAGATCGGAAAGACAACAGAAGAACAGAAATCAGCGTGGAAATCTACTGCATTCAACATAAGGAACAAGATTTAAATTCTTACGCTAAAGTCAAGTCAGTACTTCTATATGCTTCAGAGATTTGGCGTGCGAATCACCAAAAGCATTTCGAACAGGCTATTGCAGACTGATATCACCAAAGTGCCTTCGCTGGCTGCATACTGAAGGTCAAATGACCGCCTTCCTCTATGGACAATGTTAGCTGACGTCGGATCAAGTCGGAAAAAAGCCAGTGGTGGTCAAACCCAATCATGGAATCAGTTCATGAAATCTTTAACAGTTAGTTTAATCCACGTAGGGAGGTGTAGACTGTCTTCCTGACTGGTTGGGGTTCTCGGGGTGGTAAAAACCAATGATGACTGGAGATAATTGGTGTTAAGGCTCAAAATTTTTCTCAATGGTTGGCGCAGATGCATTCACTCTTTTTGACTTATAATATCCAATAGAATTCTATTGTTCTTCCGTAATACTATTCTTTTCGCCTCACATTTCTGTTTATTATCTCTCTCTCTTTCTTTTGAATATCTTTACTCTCTTCTCTTGCTTTGTATGCTACATAAAGTGGAGTGTGGCAACTCGAACTGCTGCACATCTGTTCGAATTTCTGCGTTGAAACCAGCTGGTCAATCAGATGACTGACCAGAAAGGATAAGTAACAAGCAAACGATGAATTTATTTCCAAACATGTGTGCAAAAGAAAATGGAGAGGGATTGGAGTTACACTGAGTAGATCGTTGAGTAATCTCACGCCATGCCTTCGAGAGGAAACCAAATGAGAAACGATGAGTTGGCCATTTATCTGAGGTTGACATGATGAAGATTGTGTGGCGGGGGAGATGAGAGCTTGTACGAAATCGTAGAGCCAGCGCTAAAAAGGACTGCAGAAAACAAGATAACATGGAGAAGTGTTGTTGAGGCTTTTTTCTCACTTGGTACTTAAGGGAATTATAATAATAAATAATGAATGCAATAAAAACTTTGCAACACTTCAAAAAAATGGCAGTACGCTTTCAGTGTAAATGGATTTTAAAACAAAGTGGAGATAAAACTAATTTATATATTTTTCTTTTGCCGTGAGATGGGGTGGGGGAATGAATATTTACAAAAGAAATATTGTTTGTTCATAAATCAATACAGATCACTTATTTCCCAGTTATAACACGGGCAGAAATATCGATCACAAGAGACACCAGCAGAGACTAGATTACGTATGTAGTATATACAACATATAATCAATATGAATGCGTGGATCAACTGCATACATAACACTACTGAAGAGTAAGCAGTGAAAACAAGAGATATTGGATTAATTTCCACCCTCTCTCAGCCCACCTCACCCCACCCCCGTCTTTTTCGTTTAGAAAATAAGATTTTCACTCCATTATATCCGTTGAATATTTTTGAAGCTCTGATTGGTTATCGAAAAAAACAACATATATAATCCAAGTTTTATGATGAGATGCTTCTTGTATCTGTCTCCCTAGATATATTCTCACTAAGGCGTGAAAATGTCTAACTATATATATCTATTGATGATTATACAGTTTGCGAAACGCTAGTGAAACAGTTATGATGAGAGAATATGGAGGAAAAAAAAGAAAACATGGTGTTCTATTGCAGTAAAATTTATTTTCAAGAGTTAGTATGTAGTGATTCGATTTGTTTCAAGTTCGTTCATATTTTGAAGTCTGTTATAGATATAACCACTAAAAAAACCAGGGAATATTGTACAGCCGTTCCTCGGTCATCACTTCATCAGGGATTGAATTGACACAGGTTAGAATTCATGGATCACTGGATTGTGGACCAAGTCTCTGAATCGTCAACGAACTTGATCTTTAGACCTGAAGGTCCAATATTTCATCTGTGATGTTGTCGTGGGTATGTGCTGATGAAGAATCCTTAAGGAGGACGAAACAGCTATCCGTAACTACATGGATTTTTATGGTCCTCTGAATGAGCGTATTGAATCCCTATAAACTAACACTTGAAGATAAATTTATTGCAATGAAACACCATGTTTTTCTTTTTTCCCCCTCTATGTTCTTTCATATTTTCTTCCTCATTTATTGGGTATTTGTTAATACCTTTAATAGTTGTTTCCGAAAAAGGTGTATTCATGTAATAAAATACATCTGTTTCTCAGTATTATAATCTATATGGTCTGATGCCATGTATTGATTTAACCGCACCTCTCTAACTCTTCCAATTTAACGTCAGCTAACATCGCCCGATGAAGATAGCGATGTCTTGTCAGGCGTAACATGTGCCCTAGACATTATTAATCGATGTTGTTTCACAAATCTCATATATTGATTTGCCGTCCTCTCCTAACTTTTGACCCCTAACCCCATAGTTCTCACTATAGATGACTAGTAGTAATGTTCTATTATCACAATAAGCGAAATGCAGTCAATCAGTAGTGTAGTCACATCCCAGATATCCACATATGTGTCAATGACATACGACAGTATTTATTCTCGTTATTTTTGCTTCAAAGCAAAGCAACAATCTGTTAACGGTTAAACTGCCTCAAAATCTTTGTTCCATATGGCCTGAAAATATGTGATTTAAAAGATAGTAAATGCTTTTTTGGGCATTTCGATTTCATCATAAAATTTTAAAGTTTATTTTATCACTGCCTAATGTGAACATTCCACTATAATTACAAAAAGAGAACAATGCAGTGAAATAACAAAAAAAAATAATTGACTAGTGTTATCCGTCAATGTATGGACGTTTCATATTACGTTAATAAATGAATGTTATTGCCAAGTTAACGAGAAGATTAGAGCCTGGGATATATACCATGTCACGAGCTAAATATATTGTGTAATTGACTAATGAGGAAGGCTTTGTCTGCTTATGGAAGTGTATAAGTGGTTTTTAATTCATGACTGCCTTCACAGTTTAGGTTGATTTCTCCTTGAAATGTTTCAGAGAGGAGCATTAGTGTTGTGTAATCATAGATCCCAGGGGGCAGTCACGGCCAGTTCTAGTTAGTTTTTGGAGTTGTGACTGTAAGAAGATCTTACCGCCGCATGGTAAATTGGGATGTAAAATTTTCGGTGTCGAACTTTTATACCCTCACTCCTTAAGGCTGTATGATAAGATAGCTGGCTTGCTGATTATCTGAAGGGGACACCTTACCTTTGCTATACCCCCATTAGTTTGTAGTACGACTTTCCCCTCAGGAACCAGAAATAGTGTAAATAACTTATAGTATGATGGTAATTGCTTTAGGTTTAACCGCTATTAGAGCGATATTTCCGGCATGGTAGGACCCACAGGAACATACGTACCAAAGAGTGTAGCTTGTTGTAACATTGAGTTATGCAAGCCTGGTCATTACGCCAAAGTAGCAGCTATCAATCGTGACACAATGTGTTAAGTGTGATGATACTACGCTGTTTTCCAGGTAGAAGTAAGTGGGGAAAGATTTGAACCCCTTGGTAGAATGCTCGCCCACCACGTATGCAGTCCGGGGTTCCATCCCCGGCCGACACACTCCTTTACCTCGCCAAAACAGTAATAAAACTAGTAAGGAGGAAAGGTTGGGCATGAGGCTAGCAACCCCACGCCGTAAAAATAAACGCCGCTGCTACCGAAACTACAGGCCACTAGCTTGAAATCCTACGTTCCACTGGGAACGTAAAAGAAATATATTCATTCAAATTTTAAGACAAACAACCACTTAACAAGTTTATTCGCAGCAAACTATCATCTTGAAGATTATCATCATATCCAATCATAAAGTTGTGAATTGGGATACAGGGTTTGTAACAGTTACTTCTCCGACACTGTATTCTTGTATCGAATAAACGATAAAATCACCTAAAGTAAAATATTAAAGCGTAACTTACTGAATACAAATATTTGCTAATTAAATCATCCTTAAGTTATTTCTGGAGGATGGTGACTAGCAGTGGAATCCAGGATGCGCATTTCGCTTTATTTGATATCCTTCGTCTGGATATACCTGTATTCCCAATGAGTGATGTTGTTCCCACTGAGACATGAACCTAGTGCCTATCGTTACAAACGCCAAATCCTTATCCATTAGACCACTTAGGCCATGAGAGCCAAGTCTTGTGCAACAGGCATAAGTTAATGCTTGATTTTAATTGAATTTTGATTTTCCCACTGACTGAGTGAACTGTACGGACGTTTTGAAGACATCGGAGAATAAACTCATGGCTTAAATCATCTAGTGAATAACGCTTGAGCCTTTGAAATGATAGATACTGGGTTCGAATCTCAGTTGGAATACCATCACTCTCTGTGGTATATGGATAGATCTGGCTGAAGGGTCCCAATTTGGATGAAGTGTCCACCTTGGATTTCACCGTTAATCACCGGCCACCAAAATTACTCCAAGTTAATCTTCAGAAATCGTCGAAGCGTCCGTACTAGGAAATTGACATGACACCAGAGACAGAACATTTCAGTCCAGTCAAATCGACAGGAAAAATCATGCTTAGTTTGTATTATATCCTGAAAAGTCAAATGTATTCTTATTCATTATTCAGTAGCACAGCGGTTAGAACTCTCGCCGACCATGCACATGGTCCAGGGTTCGATCCCCCTGCCGACGCACACCTGATATCATTGGTTGGCCTGCAAAATTTGAGCTACCGATATCGCATGCTGAAAATTTCATACTTGTACCAAAAATACGGTGTGGAGTCAAGCTATAATAAAAAAAAACTATATTTATCTTTATGCTATTAAATTGCATTGGATAACACTGTCACTTCTAGTCAGTAATGGTGCTGTCTAGAGAACAGTTCCTATCAGTATTTTTTTGTTTCATACATATTTGATGAAAATTCTTCATTTCAAAAAAAGAAAAATTGTTATTTTCTATTTTGAAATTTATTTTTTTTTCACTCAGCTTAGTTGATGTTTTATGTAATAAACTTGTCTAGAGATTCTAGTGTAATTGCAATCTGATGTTTACATCGTATTGTTGCGAGTATTGTACTTTGAAATAGAATCAGCCCATTTTGTTTAACATATACTTTGTTCACAACATAATTTTTTTTCTCCCTTGTGTACAGATTTCTATGGAGCCTAATATATCCGATATTGAAAAATTAGCCAATGTCACATTTATTGTCAGTGGTCTTGAAAAATCTGGAAAAGTAAGACTTAAATAACATTTTGCAATTTGTAATTCATTTTCTTCAATGTTGTCGTTTATCCTGCTCCCTGTGCAACGACGTTATGCAACAGATGGGAACTGTTTCGTTGATTCATCATTGGGAGGGGTGACCAATGTCATTTTTCTAGTGTTTTTGTATCTGTTGTGATTGAATTCTATCAGTTAAGTTTGTAAACTGGGTCATTGAGTGGATTATCTTTGCGATGTAGTATTACTATTATTATAGGTAAAACACAAACGTGGTGCTCTGTGGATGCCGAGAGATGTGCCACACATGCCTAGAGCGAAGCAGGCGGTTACCGTGTGGAGTCATCCCTTGAGCCTTTGACTTGAAGTTTTGATCCTCAAGGCAGTAGTGTTTCATTCCCATGGTTTCTGATGACGAAAACGGGTCCATACGTCATTCAATCGTTTCGAAATCTGAAACCTATTTATACTGCAGGTTTGGAATCAAGATTCTCCAGCTTCTCGTAGGTAGACCTGCATATCAATCAAACTGGTTGTAACCGCCAGACATCTGCATTCACGCTTTAATGTTTCTACGGAACACACTGCCGTCACTTGAAGGCAGTGAATAGGACTTCCCTAGCAGGGGCTGTGAACGCATAGCCACATGAAAGTATTTCAAGAGGGTGTCTGAAGTCTACCCACCCTCAGTTGTACCAAGTCGTTTATAGAAACCACTGTGGTCTGCTTCAGGTTGCTATTAGCTGAACTTAAATACATAGTTTCCTGTCTACCTCTTCCAAACATCCAAGATCAAGTAAAACAGTATTTAGTTGTCATTATGTACTGCATAAATAGTTTTTATTTAGTTTTAATTAGGTATTAAGCCAATCATAGCTCTTAACAATTAGGTGTTTTGCATTGCAGTATATGGAATTGCCTCACACCTCTATTTTAACTTTGCTCTTCAGAAATTATATAGTTCAACAGAGCTACTCTACATTCATCGGCATTCATTCACCTATAGTATATCTGGTTTTGGTTGGTTGGCTAATCCAACATTTTTTGGATAAACTTTGTTGGTTTCTTATTTCAATAAAAGTTTTTTTTTAAGATAGGAAACTCCTGTAGAATATGCAGGTGATTGTCTTTTAATTGTCATTGGGATGTTCTATCATCCTCTTAAATCAGCTGCATCTCTTTCAACCGACGTTACTGGATGAGAGTGTAGGAAAGTGTGTTTTGCCATCTTGTTCTCTTTTTATGAATGAACAGTACAAAACACTGATGAACCTATTTACAGCTACCTCAACAATTTTTATCTTGTAAAATCCGTATTCTACTTTCACCATCGTGATACATAATACAAAGCTATCCTGCCTTTTTGGTATGCAGTGAAATTCCTGTCATACACATTAATTAATTTAACTAACGTTGAGAAGACTGTTGAGGGATATCACGTACCAGGCCCTCGAGTGAAACCCGTATGAGAAACGACTAGTCAGGCGTGTGTCCGTGAATAACATAGAGGAGATTGTAAGAGAGGCAGGCAGTTGTGGAGTCAGGTCAAGAGAACTGCAGAAAATTGGATCAAATCTTCTTTTTGAGTCCTATTTCCCACTTGGAATCAAAAAGGGAATATTAATAATAAAACGGAATTATATTCTAACACACATGAATAGGTGGCACAGTGGTTAGGACGCTCGCCGACCATGCACATAGTCCGGGGTTCGATCACCGGCCGATACACTCCTTTACCTCGCTAAGCTAGTTAATAAAGCTGGTAAAGAGGAAAGGTTGGGCATGAGGTTAGCAATCCCATCCTGTAAAAGCCACTGCTAGCTTGAAGCCCTGTGTTCCACTGGGAACGTGAAGGAACACACACACACACAGGGCTCACAAATTCCAGTCTTATTCCATTGTTGAAGCGTTTTCTTTTCATAAAAGTGATTTCATACAATAGAATGTAATCTGTTAACTGAATAATTAAAGTGTGAATTTTGTTTTCGTTCTTCTTCTTCTTCTTCTTGTTTTTCTACAGCTTATACATGATTTACTATCTGAATGGAATTTACGTTTAATAAGTGTTAATTCATTCAGTGAAATGCGAACAGTATTTACACGTTTAGCTAATGAATCATCACAAAGTCATACACGAAGAATACTAGAAGATGGTGATTTTATTAAAGTTTGTATACTTGGTGGTAATCAACTTATTAACTTAGTTCTACGTGCATATGTTGATCAATTGAGTTGTAGATCAACAGAATTAGCTGCATCATTTCGTTTTTTTATTATACCAATTGATGGTGTTAATAAATTGTTGCATGCAACCACATCATTGTCATTGTCATCAACATTACCTTATTATGATCAAATCAATTCAATGAAAAATGGTATTCCGATAAATTCTTCATTTGGTGGACAACAGAATATAAATGACTCACCATCCAATCAACTGAATCTAAATGATTGTAAGTAGTATCATTGTCTTGTTAATTGTTCATCTATTATGTTATTTAAAAATTCTCTGTTTCTTTGGTTTCGATGATGATGACTAGCATTAGAATCCTGAATGCTCATTTCTTGGTATTCAGGACTGGTCAGACGATGTGCACGTCCTGGATTCCACTGTGAGTGACCATTGTCCAGAATGAAAGAGATCCTTTCGCGTCCTGAGTTGAAACATTTCTAAGTATAACTACATATAGATTTCGGACGTTTATATTGCACCTGAATGTAGTCTATTAGAACTGTACTTCTTTGCACAGTCTTCTGAACACCTTGAGCAGCAATCTTCGTATGTTTGGCATGCGATTCGCCCCTGATGTCAAATGTAAAATGCTGCTACAGTAATGAACTACGTCAACTCCTAGCTTGGTGATAGGGAGTGAAGTGATACAACATGCTGACCACTTCACCTATTTGGGAAGTTGTATTAGCACCAACGGACTGATTGGCGATGAAATCTCAGCACGGATCCGAAAAGCTCGAGCTGCTTTCGCTGACTTACACCATCTCTGGCGTCGGCGTGACATCCGGTTATCAACCAAGGGACGTGTGTACTGCTCATCAGTTCGCTCCGTCCTTGTGTATGGCTCTGAAACATGGCCAATACGCGTTGAAGACATGAAAAGGTTGACTGCTTTCGATCATAGATGTCTGCGATCTCTTTCTCACGTTAGGTGGTTTAATAAGGTAAGTAATGTTGACGTTAGGCGTAGAGTGTTGGGCAAAGAGGGAAAATCAATCGACGAGGCTATAAAGTTACATAGATTGAGATGGCTAGGTCAGTCACGTGCTGCGCATGCCTAACCATCGCCTCCCTCAACGGGCATTACTAGCTGATATAGGTGCAGGTTGGAAAAGGGTAAGTGGTGGCCGAACAAAAACATGGCCTCCCTCATCAATCCATGAAATCCTTGACAGTTAAACTGAGTCAGGTAGGGAGATGGAGACTTCCGGGTTGGGGCTGTCGAGACTCTAGGAATCAATGGCTGGAAACAATAGGTGACATGGCTACAGTTGATCGTTGTCAATGGCGAAGATGTTTTCAGTCTCTGTAATCTTTCATATTCCTTTCTACTATTACCCATTCTGTTTCGCTCTTATACTTGTCAAACTCTATTGATTCTCTTCACTCATCTTCTTGTCTATCTTTGTGTGCTATTTGGAACGTGGCAACTCGAACTGGTGCACTTCGATGCCAAGTTCTATGTTGAAACCAGACAGACAGACTTCTTCGCTGAGAAATTTACTTCTACTGATGCTAACTCCCTAAGCAACTCTTTACCAATTCCTTTGACTAAAGCTCCCTTAAATAATTATGAGCATGGTCATCATGAACATATCGGCAACTTTACAACGCGTCTGAAAAATATTCTTGATCTAGTTTTCTCAAATGACTTCGTCACATTTAAAGTTCGAAAAGCAACCCCACTACTTATTTCTGATCATTGTTTGTTACGTATATTACCCTAAATATACGGAAAGCTGCACAAAAGGGCCTTATTGAACCTTGACAAGAAAAGATAACATAGATGTTACTCCTATGACAATATACAGGATCTAAGAAACATGCTAAATGATAAAAATTAGAATTTATTTACTAAAAATGTTGTAGATAACACAATCACAAACATAACGCGTTATCTCAAATTCTGTCTTATTGTGTGTTGTCTAAAAGAAACACTCTTCTTAAGACATTCATACTATTATTATTTCATGTATTCACACCTTTGACCTAATTCGCTCACCGGATTTAAGTTCTTAAAAACCATATATATATATATATACACGATTGTGCAGCTTGATAATAAATTCGTTGAAAAGAGTCTCTTCGCTGAATATTGTGTTCTTAAGGTTTAACCACTTGTCATCTTCTCAACCTAAAAAGCTTCGCAGAGAAAAAGAAAGCTTATATAAAATGAAGGATTATTCTGGTTTTATGAGAGTGAACATTTATATTAAATCAGAAATACAGAAGTTAAATATGATTTATAACCAAAATTCCTTATCATGTGAAACCTCATCTAGTATGTGGAAGATGTTTAAGGAAATCACCAGTGGTAAATAAATAAAAATGATGCTTCTTCAGTCTGATGTTACGATTTCAAATACTACAAGTGTAAATAATGACTATTTTTCTGGTTTTAATACGAATGATGTCCTCAGATGTCTTCAGTCCTTGAAGCCTACCTAGTCCGCTGGTCCAGATGGTGTGCATGCTAATATCCTCAGAAAATATGCCAACGTTTTGTGTTATCCTCACTGGTTTTTTCAATGAATGGAGGATATTAAAGGTGTTCCTTTGCCTAAATTGTCAAGTGGATCATCAAGTGTTAAGTTGAGACCCGGAATTGTGTATTTTTTTTCTTGTCTTTCGTGGTCTTCCCATATTATGTTAGTTTCTAGAAGGATATCTAGTTTAACGTTCTACGTAAGGAAGTTAAGACAACTTGGTATCATTCAGTCTCTACTATTGCAGTTTGTTAATTTTTGTATTCTATCTATTCTTCTTCATTACCTCTCTCCCGCCCCCCACCCCCCAACTTCATCTTTCTTGGGCTACTTAAGAAAGAATTTGTCACACTACGAAGATCACTAAAAGCTATTAGTAGGGTGAGTAGTAGGGAGGGGGTCGCCAAGTCAACTTGTCAATACTGTTGTAGATAGACACTTGAACTAATGCAAGAAAAATTAGTGAATATTATCTTGTTGAACTTTAAGCATTCTTTCTGTACGCAAGTCACTCCTTGCATTTCATCAGGCAGGACTAGGAGCAACCATAAAAGACTTTAGGCTCCGACAACTAAATTATAAAAACGCCGCAATACCTTATTTGGAACACATTTTATGTGATGAGAAAAGTGTTAGATGTGGCACTACTAGTTTACTGCAAAAAATTAAGTGAACTAACCTTTTCAATGTTTCATTAAAATATTGTTGTTAGTATTCTCACTTAAATTATTTGTCCATATTCTTATTTAACAACATTATCAATGTAAACACCGTGTTTAATTATTTCTCCCTGTACTATGTGAAGAGAAGAAAAATTATATGCAATATTGTATACATGCTGAAAATTCAATATTTGTGTCAAAAGTACTATTTTTAATAAAGCTATTACTATTATCATTATTAAGCTTGAGTTACGACGTTTTATTAGAGGTGGTGATTTTTTTTTTTAACGGGTTAGTGTTTCCAACCTAATACCCAACTTTCCCTATTTCCTAAACTTACTACCTGCCAAACTAGGTTTAGGAGTGTATCGGCCAGCAGTCGAACTCCTGACACACCACACACCAATAAACGGGAAATGCAAATAATCAAAACACAAATTTTAGTTATTCTTATTTCTATGCAAAAGAATATGTAATGGTGAGAAAAGTATTCCCTTTCAATGAGCTAACTTAAAGAGATTATACGATCGTACTCATACATAACAAAGAACCCATTAAGCCAACCAGATACTGTTAACTATTTTCTGGAAAATGTATTACCTAATGTAAAGTGTGATCTGAAAGTTGGCGGCTAAGTGGAGACTAGAAAAAGGACAGGACTTGGAATTACCTAATAAGTGTGAAAAATGACTCATTCATCTAAACGTGCAAAACAGACGAAAGTAAATGGTCAAATACAATAAAGTGTTTATAAAAAATCTGTATGAAAACTGTAATGGTGTAGCAACAGAAGACAAGGGCCAGGCAACAGATCGTCTATTAAGGAAATCAACACATATTCATAGATTTTTATGTACATTATTATAGATTATTGTTAGCAGAAAAACACAGTCTTCTGATTGGTTGTTTCTCACAGAAAGTTAACCTTGCATCTCTTTGTGGCTGTTTCTTGAATGTCAGGTCATCTATGTGTTAAGTGTATCCGCCTACTCAAAGCCTTTGTTCTCATGTTTCTCACGACCAATATTGGGGACATAAACATTGACGTAAATTACCGTCCACCAATTTTGACTAACAGCCAGCTCTCACCACAATGGTATTAACAAACAATAAGTTATAGTAATAGTAATAATAATAAACTAAATCAAGTGAAAGAAATTGTAGCAAGAGTGTTACTTTGGTCACAGTAAGGCGAGTGAGTGTGTGTGAAGCCTTCGAATGCAAGGCTCCGGTTCCAAATCCAGGATAGCCAATTGTGCTGCTATGCATAAAGGATACCTTCAAACTCTTTTTCTACGGTATTGAGGAACTTTGTGTAGGACTTTGAAGCAATCATACAGGGGTGTCCTATATATATATATATATATATACTTTGTTGAAAACGTGGTTTTCTTTACTGTCACGTCTTTTCTTATTTTTATCTAAATTTAGTAATTAACTTTCTTGTGTATCTAACTTTTTCAGCTAACTCTGGCCGTGCTTCGTTATCATCAATTCAAACGACATATTTCAACAATTTGTTCGCTTATCATCTTTGTCAAATTGATCCCATATATGGAAAGTTATTCAAAGAGTTATGTGATGAATCTGGATCTATTGATCATTCTGATCATAATATAAGCGTATCAAATTTAACAAATAAAGAGTATCTTTCAGTTATCAGATTAGAATTATTGAATCGTATTATCCGATATGTGATTGGTAGTCGGAATATGCATACATTTCCTATTGGTGCATGCCTTCTTGGCTCATCGAAACATACTAATCACAACAGTAGTAGTAATACATCAACAAGTGGAAGTAAAATTCAAAAATCACTCACAACTGACTGCAGTAGTACTACTACTACATCTGGGAATACCTCGTCGACAAATTCAAATATTACAAATCAATTAAGTCATGGTGTATTAGATCAATGCGCTAGTCATTCAGATGGAACTTCTTGTTTAGCTAAAGGAAGCAGTGTTCCAGGTAATTCACTACTTTAAAAAAACAACTGCTGTTTAAGTTGTATTCATCGTTCACCTTTTTTCCTGATCTGATATTTCTGTTTAAAAGTTTGATCATGGATTGACATCAGTCACAGAACCATTGAAAGTACTGGACAGCTGTTTTGTCCTACTTTCGAATTCTGACTGACTGGACTGGTTTCAACTGTGAACTCTGTACGGAATTTTGCAGCAGTTCGAGTCGGCACACTTCCTCCATGTAGCACACAAAGCAGTAGAGAGATGCGAAAGGGAGGGAGAGATAATAAACAGAAATATGAGGCAGAAAGAATAGTAACATGTAAAAATAATGTAGTTTTATTAGATATTATAAATCACTAAGAGTGAATGCATATGCACCAGCCATTGAGAACGATGAGTTTGAGCCATATCACCAATTGTCTCCAGCTATCATTAATTTTTACCATCCCGAGGACGCCAACCAGTCAGGAAGTCTGACTTGCTTAGACTAACTGTTGTGAATTTCACTGACTTACGAAGTCATGTTTTGGTGTGACCATCATTAGCTCTTTTTCAACTTGATCCGACGTCGGCTAACATCGCCTGTCGGTCGAGGAAGGCAATGGCTAGGAATCCATGCGTAACACATATCCTATCCATCTCAATTGGTGGAATTACATAGCATCTTCGATTGATTTCCCCCCCCCCGTCCCCTTGCGTAGCACTCGACGCCTAACCTTAAAATTGCTCACTTTATTATATCACTTAACGTGAGAGATAGAACGCAAGCACCTGTGATCAAAGACATTTAGCCTTTTCGTTTCTTTCACTTTCATTAACCATTTTTCACAGCCATAAAGGAGAATGAGACACTGTACACCCAAGACTCCAACAGGAGTAAAGTCAAAAACCTTCAGGTTATGAAACCAAGTTCATTGTTCATAAAACCACTTGGGCCGGAATTCAATAACCCTTGAACTCCAACTTTTTCGCTCTGAAATAGTGAACTCTACTAGTCACAGTTTCTCGTTACGGCTTCAGGATATCCATCCAGTAGCCACTAATGAGCAGGAGATTGATACTTAGACAGTTCGATTTTGTATGGGTCGAATTATTTCAGTTTGGATTTCGTCATTAGTTAGTGATCATCGAAAACCAAAAAGCACTGCACAGCTGTTTCGCATTTATGTTCGATCCCCGGTGCGGTAATAGAGGTGTATGGGGCTGAAGACCTTCAGATAGAGACGAAACAACAGTCCAGTACACTCAGGTTTTCAATGGCTCGCTAACTGACATCCCTCTACAAAATAACTCGTTTACTCATTTATTGAGCACTATAAAGTAATTAATTTGTGTCATAAATTGTAGTAGATATAAGAATGGGACTTGGCCACTGTGGTAAAGTATAAATTCCATCATAGAATAAATTTATTCGATAAAAATCCTACACTGATACAGTATTATTGATTTACTGATGACATTTCTAAACAATTTATTGGTGACGCTTCATTTTTATTGTACGTATTAGGTGTAGATTCGATGAAGTAAGATTCAGTGACCAACCTCTCCCACCAACACCACCTACCTACGTTGCTTTTTTGAACTGTAGCTCTGCATCACCCTGCTGTGTAGTAGTTACATAGTATTGCATGCATTACGATTACTGAGTTTTTCTTTAAACTACTGATCTACGTGGGGTAAATCATTTTACTCCTAGTTAAGTGTAGTGAAAACGTCATCCAACACGAAATAATTGCGTGTTATACGAAATCAAAAAACCGACTAGAATTCAAATATTCAGAGCCTTACTACCAAGAAATCTAGTGAGGAATATGGAGACAATCTCTATTTGACAGTAATGGTATTTTTTTATTTTTTATTACAGCTTGATTCCACACTGTATTTTTGGTACAAGTGTGGAATTTACAGCATGTAATGTCGGTAGCCCTAGTTTTGCAGACTAGCCATAGATATCAGGTATGCGTCGGCATGTGCATGGTCGGCCAGAGTCCTAACCACTGTGCCACCGACGAACACCTTGCGATAAACTTTAGAAAAAGAACAGTTACTTGTTGGTGTATTCGCTGGATTTGTCCAAGTTATTTTTGTATTTCCTTGTTGATTGATTTATATTGGACCAAAATGCTGGGCGCCTGTTGACGTGTCAGCTAAAGATAACATCATGTCGATGTTCAAACATCACCGAATCGTCCACATTAGGAGTTTATATGCCGACAACACTTCGGCCCAAAATAATCAATTAATCAGCGGGAAATACAAAATAAATTATACCCGTTACACAAGAGGTCCTCATAGTGGTCTAATGAATAACGCTTTTACATTTGAGACAATGTTATATTGGGCTTCAGGAACAGAGGGGAAATCATCTAACACTCACTAGGAACGCAGCTGCATTCAGCTAATGACTCCCACAAATAGGATAGAATGAACATCCTTGATTCTGTTGCTACCTACCATCGCCCAAACAACATTATGTTATATGTTAAGTACTTCCGTGACTGATAACGTACGTTGGAAATACGCGTAAGCTACTATAATATTAAAATATTATATTAATATCCAGTAAATAATACTGTTTCACTGTGTGATACATCTAATAAACAAACTAATATGGAATTAAGCTACTTTACGTTTTATTTCTCTTCTAATAACTTATTCTGGTGCTTGCAACATAATGTATTATTCAAGCACACAGAAACATAACTTTAAAAAACACTAATGAAATTTGTTAAAACAGTGTAAGGTATATAGTTAAATTACTAATGCGCATTTCAACTAGCATCGTAAAAAGACATAAGTTCAATGATGCATACAATATTATTATTATTGTTCCCTTGGGTTCCTAGTAGAACATAGGGCTTCAACTGCACGTCTCCACTTGCCACATCTGTCTTCCTTCTGCTGTACTTTTCACCTACATCCATGTTAGTCCATACTGTTTTAACTCCTCTTCACACGATCTCCTCCATGTCACCCTCGCACTAATGTCCCACTCGCCACTTCCCTTTTGGGTTCCACTAGAGCAATGGCCTGACGCGCGCGCGATGTCACTCAGCGGCCTCCTCAGCGAGCGAGTGTCCTATCCATCTCCACTTTCTCCTGCATATTTGTTGGTTGACGATTGGTTCTTGTTTTGTTTGTTTGTTTGTTCCCATAGTTTCTTGTCGGTGATTCTTTCCGGCCTGGCCATCTGATCTTGATTGAGCATAGAGCGAAGACAGTTAGTTGTTGATAAAGGTCTGCAATGGCCTGTTGGAAATATTCTTTGTGACCTGCCCACCAAGTTTCTGATTTGTATAGAAGAACTGACTGACTTGACGTTGTTTGTATTGAAAATCCGACTGGATTTTGTTGTTGATGCTGCCTGAGTGACGAAGATTTCCAGATTGGTTGTTTGAGGTTGATGAGTGAATGTGTTTCTCGCCTGCCTTCCGGATTCTCGCTCGATTTGATATCCTCGTCCGTTCCGACTTCCTGTAGTTGAGACGAAGCTCCCTAGATAAGTGAATGAAGTAACCTCTTTCAAATCCCTCCAGTTGATGGTGATTGGCGCTGGATGTTGCTTTTGTTGTTGGTTGGTTGGTTGTTTTCATAACCTCCGTCTTGTCTATGTTCACCTGGAGTCCTGTCTTCGCCGGCTACTTCTTCGACCAGTTTGTTGGTTTTCGCTTGTAAGTCTTCGATTTTGTATGACATCAAGCATAAATCATCCACACATGAAATCCAGGTCTTCGAGGTTCTTCACGTCGATCGAGGATTTCCATGTCTTCTCATTTCCCGCTGTCTGATTCATAATCCAGTCCACGACAATTAGGAATATCATTGGTGATAATAAGCACCTTTGTCTGACTTCTGTGTTTACTCCAAACGCCTCGCTGAGTTTTCCGTTGTGGATGACTTGACATGTGTTGTTGTCGTACAGCTGTTGAATAAGGTTGAGGAATATTTGGGGTACGACGTAGTACTCGAGTAGTTTCCAAATTACTTCGCGGTCAACGCTGTCGAAGGCCTTCTCGAAGTCTATAAAGTTGAGGTATACGCAGTACATATGGGAGTGATATTACCGATAGCTATCCCATAAAGCTTTCTAAGTACGTATAAGATTAGACTAGAGACTGGGAAATTGACTAGGTTGTGAGAAATTGGATTTCAGATTAAGAATATGATATCTTTCTTAAAACCTATCGCTTTAAGCTGTTTTTTAAAATATATATGTAACGAATGTTCAGATCACTGAAATATTAGTGTTTTCTTATCAACCACTTCATAAAGTACTACTTCCCGCCATTTTTTTCGCACTCCTGATGAAACGCTCAGAAAATGCTTTTCAAACTGTTCGTATGTGTTCAGGTCTGTGATGCTTTTATTCTATACCAGATGCTTTAACGTTGGTTTATCCATTATAAGTCAACACTTTTTATATTCTTTGATAATAAAACTACCGTCGATTTTCTGGCTCTTTGAAAAATGTCCTTCTATGGTAAACTTCTGGTTGAATGATTACTTCTAATCACGCATACGTATAATTTTATAAATAATTCTATTAGCTTATGTCATATGCTCAGATATAATTGAAGTTGTCATTTATTTAGAATTGTAATACTAAATCGCCTTTCTTCTGCATGTCACTGCAACGGTTTCAATGGATATTTCCTATCTGTCAACTTTGATCGTGAGTGACTTTTCAATTCATGATTCTCTACAGAACAGTTGTGCGTTTTTATTGATTAGGATATATTTTATTCATTCTGACACTTGGAGTCATTCAATTCAATATTTTCAGATAATATCAAATTTCCACTTAGAATTGAAGCTAAAGAAAGTGACATTGTTCTTACTTTGCCTTGAAAAGTCTTTAATGCGTGTTTAGATTATCTATTCTCTTCTTTTTCCTCCTAATATTTTCAAATGTTGATATCGACTGTGCGTTTAAAACATATAAGTAAATAAAGGCAGATAAATGCAAGTGTTAATTTCCAACCAATTGATATCTCGAGGGCTTGGTGCACCATTCCTTCGGAATATTTATTTGGTTCGTTCCCAGAGTTCCTCATTACTCATCCTTCCTGGTCATCTGATCTTCAGTATGAAATGAAGTTAGCTGTTGATGAGAGTCTACAATAATCTGTTCGAAATGCTGTGGGTGACACTCCAAGTCTCTCACCCATATAGAAGAACCAACTGACTTAATGTAGGTGTTGAAAATCCAAATTCTGCTCCTTGTGCTGATTGCAGCAGACTTCTAAACTGATTTTATAGTGATGAAGGTCTGTCTGTAGTATCCAATACTGACTTTAACATTCTCATCTGTGTCGCCTGTAGCTGAAACTATGTTACCTACATAAGTCAAAGAAGTTAATCCCTTCAGATTTCTCTTGCTGATAGTGATCGGTGCATGGTTTTGTTATTATATGATTGGGCAACTTCACCTCTGTCTTCTCTGCTTCTTCTATCAACTTGTTGGTTTTCACCTGTTGGTCTTTGAGGTTGTGTGATGTTAAGCATATATCGCCTACAAAGTCTAGATCTTCTAAAGTCTTCCTATCAGTTCAACGTACTCATGTCTTCTCACTTCCCGCATGATCCAGTCCACCACAATCAGGAAAAGTATCAGTGATAGTAGGCAGCTTCGTCTTACTTCTGTATTCACTCCAAAGAACATCTCATTATGAAGCTATTGAATGAAGTGTATACAGATTTGGGGCACTTCATAGTGTGGAAACAGTTTCCAACTCACTTCTCAGTCAACGCTCTAGAAGGCTTTTTCAAAGTCGATGAATTTGATGTAGAGATTCTATGACCATTTTATTCTCTGTTCGATGTGTTGAATGACTGAATTTATTCCAGTGACTTAATTGACTGACGCACTCCTAAACCTCGGCTAACCTGATAATGAGGTGAGATTCGGCAAGAGCCTACCAGCCTCCGCCATGTAAAAACAGCACTACCACTACTGAAACTTCAAAACTCAGGCTTGAAGTCCGATGCCCCACTTTTAACACAATAGAAAAGGAAAAAGAATGTCATCTTCTAAAACTGTACAATCCCTTATGATTGAATAATAGAGAGCTATGCAGTTCGTACACTTTCTGAAAGACAACACTGGTTAGCATTGTCATCAAGAGGGGAATGAAAGTGAATTACCAGCATGATTCACGAGCATCTGGTTAACTCAAACCACATCGCTTTACTGGGATCGTCTAAGAATTATCTACAAAGTAAGGCTGAATGGCACAACAGGTGTTAGAATTCTAAATTTGCGTATAATGGATGGGCTAGAGGGTTCATCAACACAACTCTGAATTCTGTGTACAGAAAAGATTTATTCAATCTCTTATCCTGCCATGGTCTTAAACTCTTTTCGACTTGTTTGCTTCCGTTTTCTAGTAACTGATTTACTATTATCACTGTTACCACATATCCCTTTTATACACTTTACTAGGATTTTTTCAATCTTTTCTTCACACATTTATCAATTAGACACTCAACCAGCTTTGCTTCTCATCTAATAACAATTTCCACCCTATCGAATTTTAAACCCTTACTTCAATCGTGTAGGTAACTATTGCGTAATCTCACACTACTTTTAGAAATCACTTCTGAGTAGTGACTGTATGAATTATGTCACACACACACGGACACTCACTTTCATCGTAAATATCAATACTATTGTATATGCCTTTGAAGATCACTTCGTTGATATAGCCCACTTGGTATCTACTATCTTTAAATTCCTACATAAAATCTTTTCTCTAAACTACATTACTATATTCTGTTTACGCTATTTAGAATAAATATTGGAGAGAGTAAATACGTGTGAATACATCATTACTCATAAATGAAGTTAGATAGACTGTTTGAATAATACTCGAATTGGTTGTAATCCACAGTAGTATTGTAAACAAAATAGCTTCACATTTTATTATTTATTGGTGACATGTTCACCACTGGATTTATTATTGCCAGGACATGTCACCTATGCCAAGTCACTGATTTCTTCGACAAACACTGTTAGCTAATATATAGAATGAAGTTTGAAAATGAGTTACGAGGTACGGGTAGTCAAGAGTTTATATGATATCAAATTCATGAAGTCTCTTTTAGCTGTTGAATTGAGCTGCGTATGAGTGTGTAGATAACCTAACTGGAATCTTTAGGACGCTATGAATCCATAGTTTTCACAGAGACAGGTGCGTAGCATGTTTCGAGATCGCCCATGGAGATACATATGTGTTCACTCCCTGTATTGTATTATATTGTATCTCTATTCTTCACTTGTGTGCTTGGTTTCCTGAGATACGACCACTTGAATAGGTGGACCTTTTTTGCATAGCTCTACGTTGATAATTCAGTTCATTTGTGTTAATTTAAAATTAATGATATGAAATCACATGACTGTACATACTACACGTTATTCATGTGAAATTCAGTTGAGTACCTTCTTTTCATTCAAAGACATACTGAAGTTTAGATCATGAGTTCTTATATCTCTCTCGATCCAGAAATCACTCTCATTGTTTTGTTTTGTTTTGTCTCGTTTCCAACTTGTATTATTCAAAATAGAGAGTCGTATTTGGTGATATTCATGAAAGTGTGCAACACTTTTTAGAAATACAGTAGTTAATGGCATGTTCACTATGCATGTATGCGCACATAGTTAACAGAAAAAAAAGTTTTCAAACCTTAAGTGTTATGAAATGAAAAGTTAAGTTACGTCATGATGTTTATATGTGCATTGGATAAAACATACATCTGACACAGTCCCTTACGTAATACCTATAGAGTAGTGTGTAGGAATTCATAGAATAAGAGATAGATAGACAGACGGGTGGATATTTTAAACATTGGACATTAATAGTACTGCTGTATGTTTCGTGTTGTCAAATATTTGTAAATAACATTAAATGAGGTAAATAAAAATGAAGAAAAAAACTCGTCCAATGTTATAAGATAAAATAAGAAGCCGTAAATAAGGAATTAGACATTAAGGGAAAGATGGTGGATGTAGTCATACTACTGCCATCTACTTTGAGTAGTATCATCACGTGAAGTCTCTCACTGTTACTTACCGACTTACCATATGATGGACATCAGTCAGGGTATTATTAGCCAATAAGTAACATCGTAAATTATAGTAAAATCCTTGGGGTCCAGTTAGCCTTGGCTTTCTTCCAACTTATTATCGTATGGAACGTTTAGGTGGAGAAACGGTTAGTAGACATGCATCATAATAAATGCCCCCAACCATATCAACCGATGGAAGATTAAAACTTCTTTAATTAACTGACTTGGTTTATAAAGGTATACATACTTATTGAAAAATAAAGCCGAAAGGATCACGTTGCTGGGATTATTATTGTATTGCGTAATAGTTAGCGTGTCCATTACAATTTCCCATAGAATTGTTGTGCTAGGGCTGAGATACTTCTCATGCGCTCAGATCGAAGCGGAGGGTTGTCTTAAGAGGTCATCCGCTACCGATCCTTTGATGTGAGTTCTGACCCACAAGTTATCGGAGTTGTATCCCCATGGTTGTCTGTGACCTAAACAGGTTCATGCGACATTCGATCCTTTTAGATTCTGGAACCGATGTACACCATTAGATTAGAGTCAGGGTCTTTCAGCTTCCCTGTAGGCCTGTCCGGTTGTAAGCTGTGGATGTTTGAATTCTCACTTTCACTTTTGTGAAGAACGCCTGCGCCTAGTAAAGGCAGTGAATAGGGTTTACCTGAATGTATGGCCACATAAAAGCTTTTCTGGATAAGGATCGAAGTTTACCCACCGCCGACTGTTCCAGGTCGTGTGTGAGGGCATTTTACACAGGACTCTTCTGGGCAGTTTTATATTTCTCATAGACAATGCTATGAAATTAACAATAGTTGGAGTTTGTTAGTTTATTTCAGTTTTTTTTATTTCTCTCTTGTTTATTGAGCCTGACTAACATGAAGTTATAGAGTATGTGTTAATTATTATCACAATTCTATTGATTGATTATCTTTATTGCTTTGACTTTTCTAGATACTCCAACGCATAGTGAAGAAATGGTTATTCCATTCATTTTAAATGTTCGTCTTGGCAATTGTTCTGCATTAGCCTATCCAGGTTTATCAGTATCTCTTCCAATGCATCCTAAAACTCAACAACAACAACAGCTGGGAAAATCATTGACTGGAGATAATTCAGCCTCATCACAATCTCCTAATTCAACGAATGTAGCCAACACAAATGCTACTGAATTAGATTCAAAAACACCCAGTGATCCAGAACAATCACATACAAAACGTAATATTAGTCCTGAATCAACATCACATGGTACATTCACTTCACCACGGTAAGTAGAAATAGGAGTTGTTTTTCTTGTCGCTTTTTTTTATCAATCCTATACTTTGATTCATTTTCTTATATAGGATCCCTTAGTAAAGATGTAGAAGATTTATAGCTCAGGTGAATGATTTTTAAGCAGTCGCATTCTCTGAGCTTCAAGGTTTATTTGTGAAGCTTTCATTGTCCGCCTAGAGAAAATCGCTCAGAATTCAGTATGAAGTGTGAACTGATTTAAATCCTCCATGATTGGTATAAACATTTGTATCCCTTGACAATAACGTTTATCCTGATTGGTTGTTAATTTGTACCAGCATTTACTGATTTGGGAATTGACTCTTTTTTGTCGTATGACTTATTCTTTATTACTTGATAAATCTGATATATAATAATGTGTCTATTAATCACTGATTCGTTTGACTACCTGGTTTCTAGAAATTCGCTGGCATTTTTAATGTTCCCTCTGTTTTTAAAATATCCGCATTTCTCCCCAGTCAAGTTGGTGTCCATAATTGTCTACATGCATAGTTACGATGAAAGAATATACTACAGTTTACTTATTTTCCTAGATTGGCCAAAGATCGTAAAATTTATTTTTTAGATGGTGTTGTGATCTTTTTCTTTTGGTTGTTTTGTGTTCGCATAGTTATTGAATGAAGGGATTGGTATTGGTCTGTGTTCAATATCCATTCTGAATAATTTGAGTAGTTTAGCCTGCTATTTCAGAAATGTTCTCTATGTATGCTTAGTTACAATTTTACTAACATGATTATGGTGTAACGACAGAAAACAAGGGCCAGGCAACAGATCGTTTATTAAGAAAATCAAGAGGCATTTATAGATTTTATATACATATATATATACATATATATAGTCACCGTTTCCCGGAATATGAAGTCATCCATCTTCGAATCACATTTCCACACGTTAACTCCTCTGTGATTGGCTGGTGATTTTCTCAAGGTTAAGCTTTGTTATTGTTTCTCTCATAACCCTGATTCGGGACGTGAACATTGACGTAAATTGTGGTCTGCAATTTCGCCTTGCAGCCAGCTCTCATCATATTGGCATAGAAAGAGGTTCAACTGAAAGGGAAAGACCTATGATGAAAAATATTATTCTGATTATGGATTCTTCATATTCAGCTTTCTCTTTGTGGACTTTTGTGACTTTGTATTTATAAAAGCTTCATGTAATCTTTTCTTTTTTGAAGTCATTTTATGTCATATATTATCGTTATTGAGATTTTACCTCAAAATACATGATAACTGTATTCCGTACATGGATTGGTTAATTAAGAGTAACTAATGCCATACTTCTACACGTTGGTAACTGGTGCTAATGCAGTCTGAATTCTGTCAGTCGAGTTTACAATATGGCCAGTAAGCTAGTTGTCTCATGATTGCACTGCACTCTGAATTGATGGACGAAACAGGTTCAAGTCTCAGACAATTAGAGATTTACGTCTTGCTGATGATTGTCAACAAGCGTGAACCTCAGGTCCAGTGCTTCTTACAGATATTGCCTCCAAACATCTGGCTGCATCCATCCTATTCATGTATTTTTCCGCATAGATTCTTTATCTCTAGTTTTGAGTACCATTAAGAGCCTTTTTGACTGAAGTAAGTCTAATAATAGTAACCCTTATTACAAATGTGAAAACACTCAAATTTGTGAGCAAAGAATATTCTTTTTTTGATAACTTCTCCATCTGGTTTCACAATTATATATTCATACTAGTTTTGGAATAATTGATGTTGGCAACATTAATGTTTAAGTGAAAAAAAAAATTATTGAATCATTAAGGTCACAAGTTAAGCGTCAGATATCAAAGTAAGTGACCATAAACAACAATGAATGCTCACTAATAATGTTCATATTGGATTTCATTCTGTCTGATTACAAATTTAATATGAATGAACGTCAACATCAAAAACAAGGAGATTATATGGTGGGCGGAAGGTTGTGTGTGTGTGTGTGTTTAATTGACTAACCAAACATAAATTAAGAAAACAAATATTTTTATTTTCTATTTATGAACCTGTGACAGCTGTTAAGGTCTGCTACTTTGAATTGTTGTGGAATCTCCTCAGATGTTCGTACTAGATCATAAATTTGATTGTCAATTTTTCGAATTGAATCTAGGATTAAAGCTTCTATATTCTGTGCATAATTTCGGACCTAGAGAGATAGTGACTTTATTTGAATTGTTGATAACTGAATGTTCGAAAGGTTGAATACATATTTTTCAGGCTTTTAAGGAGAGCTGGCGTGATCTTATCACTGTGACCACTTGAACATATTCTTCAAAGGACTATCGTAGTTCATGATCTAAATTGTGAACTGAATGAACTCGTGAGTAGACATTTTGATCTATTTGGCGAAGATATGATTCACTAAATACAGTATAGTTCAGTTTGTGACACTTGAATATCCTGATATCCGGTTGTTTGCGTTTGCATCTGAAAGATTTCTAGTATATTTTTGGATATTCATGTCGATTTAGACATTCTCTCAAAACACATATCTTTGTTACATGATTTCATCATGAGTTGACATCAGTTCGAGAACCATTGGAAAACCTGAGAGTACTGGACAGCTGTTTCGTCTTAGTTTGGGACTCTTCATCAGTACGCACCCAAACTGGGACGAAACAGCTGTCCAGTACTCCCAGGTTTCCCAATGGTTCTCTAACTAATGTCAGCTCATAATGAAATCCTGTAACCAATCAAATCCCTAGAAACTAACACTTGAACATATTTTTGTCTTCGTTACTGCAAATTTGACGAAGAAACGCAGAAAACTGTGTCAGCTCCTTGACTGTCATTGAATCCTTTTAACGTCTTAGCAACTTGAGCGTTCAGCGAAGAGTTACTCTTTTCTGTGATATCATTCTCAAGCTTTACGATCACATTATATATATGTACATAGTAAATTTACTCAAAAATAAAAGGAATGTTTCCAAAAGTCATCAAAATCAATAAACATCCAGAAGCTTCCTCCGCAGGTTCAGTTCGCAAACCTGATAAATCAGATGGGTGAATTAGTACCCAATGGTTTATGTTTATGGTAGAGTGAGTAGTACTGGAATTCAAGACTTTCGCTTCGTCTTATTTTGAACTCATCAGTCGAGTATACTCTGTTGTTAGTTGGTGATACTGTTCACACTGGAAAGATTCGAAACCCACTACCCATCTCACTATACATCAAAGCGTTATCCGCTATGTTTGTTCCTAGAAGTTTCGAAATGTAAATTAAGTGAATTCATCAATACAAGAAAGATTGAAGGAGAATGTATACACATGCAACACGAACGGTATAACGTAAGAGAGCACCGATGAATTTCTGGATTGCACAGAGGAAACAAAAGATAGACAGGTGAGTTAGGTCCACAATATCAGTGATGCAGAAACGAAGGCTTATACCTGTAACATTTAAACACATTAAAATATTAAAAGTGACACAATATACTACTGAAGGAAAATTAACTTAATTAGAAAGTATACTAATTTTGTTTGTGATAACTATATTTTGCATATTTTGGATACAAAAATAGTCCTGAACGTCGGTTTAATCACAGGCAGCGATTTCGCTCGGAATATTACCTAATTTAGAAATAATGACTCATCATGGTGTATAAACCTTTATGCTGTATATGTACGTATACATATTAAATGGATTTCACAATGTGTGTAGACTTTTCCAATCATATGCTTGTAACACTTTTTGATTTTCTTAAAATTTATTTATACAAAGTAGGCAACTCGAAGTTATACCTTTCGAAAGAAATTGTAAATATTCATATTTCACAAAAGACTGTGGTTCCTAATGAGACATACGACTTCAAACCTCTTGAGCTTTGAAGTTTCAGTAGCGGTGGAGCTTCTAATAGTCTTACGTCCAAAACTTCCCACTTATTGGGGCTTACTGCCGAGTAGACAAGTTTATGCAATGCGTTGGCTTGGAATCGAACCCCAAACCCTTGGCATGTTAATTTTAAATTAGCAATTACTTTTTAGTTGATTATATGATTGACTTGGTGGCAGCTAAATTCTAGAAAAAAGATTAGTAATGATCTTGGATAGCCGTAGGTTGACAGACTACTTATTTGGGGTGATAACTGAAGGTAAAATGTAAATCTTAGTTGTGAGCGGCTTTAAACCTACTCATTAAGTTAATAATCCTGAGGCGTATAAATACTGTCACGAGCCAACATCAGTTAGAAAGATCACTGAAAGCCAGAATAAAGCAGTAGATGTGTGTTTCGTCCTGCTTTGGTGCTCTTCATCAGTGCGCACTGTATACACCGCCAGAGATCGATCCTGAGGCCTTCAGGTTACGAGATCAAGTCTGTTGACCATTCCAGCGACTTGTGCAGGAATTTAATAGCGTGTGAATTCTAATTTTGTCAGCTAATGCTAGAGCATTGCTCTCACTAGTGTGCTTGATGAGCATCCACTTCACTTTGACATGGTTGGACCACACTGCTGCTTGAGGAAATCTTTTTAGCAACCATCGGTGAGCCGTCGATTGATATGCAGCTTATAAGATTTGTGGCAATTTCGGATTAATTTCATTTGTTAGCTTTTCGTCACAATCCAACATGTCAGGGTGAAATGGATGCTCATCGAAAGTATCCGTGAGGGCAACGCTATCTAATGCGATGATAAAGTTAGAATTCATGGGTCATCAAATTCTGACTGAAGTAGGTTAATGGTCAACAAGCTTGGTCTAATGATCTGAATGTCCCGGGTAAGATCCCTGGCTGGGTCGTTGGTGTAAAATTCTGAGGAGTCCAAAAATAGGATGAAATAGCTGTCTAGTACACCCTGATTTTCAGTTATCTCTGCAACTGATTTTGATTCCCGACGAAGATCGAACAGGTGAAATTAATCCGAAATCCCCACAAATCCTACAAAATTTGGATTATACTATTGGGACGCACAGAAGTTTCAAGGTACCTTTGTGAAATAACTTAGCTAAATAAAACAGTGATGTAACGGCTCACTAGTATGATCAATGTCACAAAGATGAGAAACACTGTGTGAACTAAGAAGCTACAAAGTGTCAAATGTATTTAACTCGGTCATAATTACCATATCATTGAGATGTTTGTGCAACAAGCATGTGGGCTAATACCACACGGACTAGTTTCAACGTAAAGATGTAGCTACTGCAAATAGCTCCTCTACGACAGTCAGAAGTCGTGGTAATGAAATTTAACTACATGATTCATGCGTATATTTCGTTCTACAAAGGAAAATATAAGGTTAGAATTAATTTGCCTATTATATAAATGCTCGTACTAATACATTACTCGACTACATTTATACACTGATCATTTTTAGTTGTATCATACTCAGCGGCTGAATCGTCTACGAGTTGGCATTGAAACTGGAAGGTTCGGTAATTTATCCCTGTGGATGCTCACTGTTGAAGAGTCCCAAACTAGGATGAGACAGCTAACCAATACTCCCTGGCTTTCATGTCCGTGGTGCAGCGATGCTTGCCAATCGTCCATATGGCTCAGGGTTCGGTCCCACGCCGACGCACTCCTAAATTTCGCCTAGCTTGTAGTTAAGCCATAATAAGATGGCAGGTTAGGAGTGAGGCTAACAATCCCACCTCGTAAAACCAAAGGACTACTACTGAAACTCCAAAGTTCAAGCTTGAAGCCATATTATAACGGTAGAAGACGAGAGATTTGATGAAGTCATGTTTATTCGAAATTTGGTATCCTTATATACCGAAATTATGTACATTTTATCTTTAATACACCATTAACACATATCTTCCGTGTTGTTCTATTTCTGGCCTTTATATTGTGTTTTTTTGTGATCCTGCCACGTTTCCCATGTATCTCCGCAACGATGTATCATTTGCTTCCTCTGAAATCAAATGTATCTCCCTGATATTTGTTTTTTTATGCTGATGAGTGTCTCTTTTTATACTACTAATAAGTGTTATCAGTAGCACTCACCACAAGATGTTCCATTTGAAACACAAAGGAACAAAATTAATAATAAGTATCATAATTTAAAACCTACCGGATTATCTATTTTCCTTCACTTTTCCATTAGCTGTTTATTTTTGTTTTTCATTATTCACTTTCTTTTATCTAGTGGTGGTTCAGTGTATACGAAACGTTTTCACAGGTATACTATTAAAATGGTTGAAGGCGAAATAAGTAGACTTTTGCCTTTATATGTGAAAAGTTTCTTTCTCAGTTTTTATTATTTCTCATCACGTGTTCTTCTATGTTGTTGTTGTTTTTGTTTATCGCTTCTGAGAATGGTTCACTTTCACAGATTGCTTCCTTGTTTATTTATTTGTTTCTTATCTTGAAGTTGTTTTTTCATTGGTTTATTGTTACATAATATGGTTTCTTTTTGGTTTACTTTGATAAGATGTGGTTTCTGGGTTCATTCGTATAAATTCTATATATATATATATATATACTTGATTTGACTGTTAAATTCACTATCGTAAAATGAACATTTTCATAATTCTGCTCCTTTAAAGGTTGGTATTAAAAAATGAATCCCTACGACTTATAGCTATTATCTTTATTAACCGGTCAGGTTTACACATAGTTACATATTCAGATGTATTTAGTGTTTGTGATCTGTCAAGATCCATATCAATCTTCATTATCCTGCATGTAATTATTTCTTTCTTGCCTATATTTCGGTTTATTATGGTTAATTTTCACTTCTATTCATTTACCTTTATAAAATGTGTGGAGACACTTGAATTCTGCTGTAGCTTTGTGTAAGCTTCTACCTTGGGAATTCAGTTCAATCCAGTTATGTAACAGTTTTTGTGGATTTCCAGATCGACATTTCATAAGTGGAAATAATTTCGTCAAGATATTGATAATAATAATAATAATAATAATTATTATTATTATTATTATTATTTTGGTTTCCTGGTGGAGCTTAAAGATTCAGCAGAACACTGGCATTTCATCTTGTCTTTCTGCAATCTTTGTTGTTATTTTTTTTAGCTGGCTCCAGAATGGCCATAAGCTTTGATTTCATCCTTCTTAAATTATTTCCTACCTTCCACCCTCGGACACATGCGGAATTTGTCGTTTCTTATTCCTGTTTCACTTTAAGGCCTGCTATGTGCGTGATGTCACTTAATGCTCTTCTCAGCGTGTATGTCCAATCCATTTCGATTTTTCGTCTGTATATTTTTGGAGCTATAATTCCATGGTTGGTTCATTGCCAAAGTTCTTTGCTGCTAATCCTTTCTGGCCATCTGATCTTCAGTATCAAGAGCAAAGTTAGGTGTTGATGGAAGTCTGCAATAGCCTGTTTGAAATGCTTTTAGTAACACGTATGCTAATTCTCTGAAGCATATAGAAGCACTGACTTGACATTAGTCTAAAAAATCCAGATCTTGTTCCGTATTGTTGATCTCCACATTGATTTCACAGCTATAAACCCCAGGCTTGTTTTTTTGATCCCGTTTGGCTATGATATCATCATCAGGACAACCTGAATATAGGGAGTGAAACAATCCCCTAAATATCTTTTAGGATAAACGGCCGAAACTTTTGAAGTAACACTTTGATGAGAAATTTAAATAGCCTACACCTACACTCAAATTGCCCAGTATCCAACATCTACCCGAATGTGATGTAGATGTTGGTTCTCAATCTGTAACTGAGGTTACAAAGGCTCTTTCTGGTTTGAGACGATAGAAAGCAACATAGCCTGGTAGAATGACTCCAGAGGTATTTAATTACTGTGGAGACAGTTTACTGTCTGCATTAACTGAGGTACTAGGCAGCGTCTAGAAATCAGAAGAAGTCCCATCGGGTTGGTGTAAGTCACTGATTATCCCCATATACAAGAAGGGAGACAAGTCTTCCTGCGATAATCACAGAGGGATTAGCTTGACTTATATAGTATCTAAAATCCTAGGCTCAATAATCATGCGTAGACTAAGCAGTGCTTGGGAGGCACAAATACGAAAGAGCCAGGCAGGCTTTAGACCAGGAGGAGGGTGTATTGATCATATCTTCACCCTCCGACAGATTCTAGAACATAGGCATTCCTACCGGCTTCCAACAATCGTTATATTTCCTGACCTAAAGGCGGAATTCGATTCTGTCAACCGAGAGGTTCTCTGGCGATATTTGGCTGTAAAGGGAATTCCGAGAAAATACATTGCACTGATCAAAGCACTCTACTCGAACTCATATAGCCAGCCAGGTGAGAGCCTACGAAAGGAGAGTTGTCATCTGAAGTGGTGACAACTAGTGGTGTCCGTCAGAGATGCCGCCTATCCCCATTTCTATTCAATTCCATCATAGATGTTCTATTGGAATTAACCCTAACTCTCTTCAGTGACTCAGAGATTGAGTTGATGCCGTCAGGATATAATCTCTTTGATTTAGAATATGCAAATGATACAGTCCTTCTAAGTAAAGACGCTGACAAAATGCAGAATCTTCCGAACACCTTGAGTTGCAATCTTGGAATGTGTGTACTGTGCATTAATTTGCTCTGTACTCGTTTTATGACTGTGAGACATGGTCATTGAAAGCGGAAGATGTGAATGCGCTCACCGTCTTTAACCATGGGTGTGTTTGTGTGTGTTCTATCTCCCGTGTTAGTTGTGATGATAGGGTGAGTAATATTGAAGTTAAGCCTAGAATGTTAGGTAAGGAAGGTAAGTCAATCTATGTGGTTGTAAGGCAACATTAATGGAGATGGTTAGCACAGGTTTTGCATGCCTAGCCACCGCCTTCCTCGACAGACGATGTTAGCTGACATAGAAGTAGGTTGGAAAAAACTAGTGTCTGTCGAACCAAGTCTTGGCGTAAGTCCTTGAGATCTTTGACAGCTAACTTAAGCCCCCTAGGGGGAGGTGTGGAATACCTTGTGGGTGTCCTATAGAGACGATTAATTGTATGGCTCAAAATGTTTCTCAGTAACACAGATGCATTCACTTTTTGTGATCTCCCAAACTCAATAAAAAACCTATTGTTTTTCTATGTTACTATTCTTACTCCCTTAATTTTCTGCTTTATTATAGTCATTTTGAGTCCTTTTTCTCCCCATCTCTGGTCTTCGTTTGTGTGATACATATAGTGTGGTAATTTGAATTGCTAGCACATGTGTGCTACGTGCAAATTTCTGTGTTGAAACGCAGTTAGTCAGTTCCATCCATGTTTGAAACTATTTTTTTAAAATTTCCTTCACATTCCCAGTGGAACATAGGGCTTCAAGCTAGTGGCTTGAAGTTTCTGTAGCAGTGTTTATTTTTACAGGATAGGGTTGCCAGTCTCATGCCCAACCTTTCCTCTTTAGCAGCATTAAATCCGGCTTAGCGAGGTAAAGGAGTGCGTCTGTGGCCGGTGATCGGACCCTGGACCATGTACATGATCGGCGAGCATGCTAACCGCTGTGCCACCAACACTTGAAACTATACTACATAAATAAGTGAAAGACGTGTCTTTCTTAAGATTTCTCCCATGGATTGTGATCATTTTTGTTGTTATTGTTGTTGTTGGTCTTCAATGTTTTTCATTTGATGGGGGAAATAATTTCATGATAGTTATCATAAATAACTTCGTTAATGCGAAACATATGTATATATATAATGTTCATTTCACTGTCTCCTACCCTTCTCCCCTTTTTTATTTGATACTAGAATACGTCGTAACTTTTCATTGTCATTTCGATCTTCAAAAAAACTGCGTAAACGAAAATCTTCATGGACAGATGGAGCTAATAGTAGCAGTACTACTACTACTATTACTACTACTAGTAATAATAATAATGGTAGTACAAATATCAATAGTGTACTACTACACGGGTATATATATGCTGTGTAACACTCATTTTCCTAATAAATTGCTTTTTTTGTCACTTAACACTTACACACTTATTTCGTAACCATAATGAGTGCTTTTACCCTAATAATTAAGGCTTACCATCATTTTGGGTTGTTTCCTTTTTCCTTTGGATTTCTGCTGATCATAAAATAACCAAGGTGATCAGTATGCATTATAATTCCATTATAGGGATATACACATAACTGATTTCCTGCTTGCTATGCCCTTGTGTATATGTGAAAATCTACGTGCTGAATCGTTTATCTTTTCCCATCTATTAACATGCTGTTTTTGATTTAAAAAAGAATAACACGTTTCAGCTAACTTTCTCTCACATTAAAACTGTCATAAAATCTGAAGCTCGCTTAACTAATTTTAACATTCCTCTGCATCGTCACCATCATCATCGTCATTAATCTTGTTGTGTGTATAACATATTAATCATGCTATCATTTTTTTTAATTCATTCAACTGGTCTTCAATATTATAGTGAACTGACAGCATTGTAGGTCAATATAGGTAAAGTTGATAAACTGCGAAGTTGCTCACAGAAAGTAATGAGATGGGGTTGCAACAAAAAGGATAGAAAGGGGACAGAATATTTGATTGGAGTTTTATAAACACATATTCACAATTCCACTCGTATTGCACGATAAAAATCACTATATGTCGTGATATTGGAGCTTCCTTTGATTGGTTGGACCGAACTGTCCTCTGGAATTGTCTGTTAGACAGGGATGTACCTGAAAACTTTGTTAGTATCTTCAAATCCCTATACAGAAACACCTTATTTTGACTGAGGGCATACAACCAGCAGTCATTAGCGTTCCCAACCAAGAGTGTGGTTAGACGATCTTTCCATTTCTTTTTAACTTTACCATCGATAACATTCTGGAGTGAGCTCTGAAAAGATGTATGTGTTTCATTGGTAGTGTAGATCTGCTTCCTGGAGAAAGACTTTTCGACCTCGCGTATGCAGTCGATATCGTCTCACTGTGGGATAACATCCAGGCTACCCAATTCGCACTTAATCAGTTGGTGATCAGTGTCTGTAAGTATAGTGTGTGCTTTACTCTGTCTAAGTGCAAGGTACTGTTACAAGATTAGCAGTAATCTGTACATGCACTCACTCTTGCAGGTGAACTGCTTGAAATTGTCGATAAATTTGTGTATCTGGATAGTTGACTGAGTGCTGGTAGAGATGTGATGGACGAGATTTCTGACTGTATCATGATAGCTAGGATGGCATAGGCTGAATTGAGCCACCTCTGGCGCCGTCACAACACCAGTCTGGTTGTCAAAGGTCAGATTTACAGTGTTTCGATGCTCTCAGTCTTGCTCTACGCCTGCGAAACTTGGCATCTCCGAGATAAGGATGTGTGGCGACTTTGCGTAGTCGATCATTGCTGTTTCCATAGGATTACTTGAGTCCGATGGCATCGTCGTGTGAATACTTCTGGAGTCCGGCAACGTTCGTTTTGGACACAGTAGCGATCATAATTCGTCGAGTGTCGTCATCTAGAAACACCGGCTTTGTGTTTTAAATAAAATAAATTAATTATGATCACTAAACAACAGTGAACATCCATCCCTTATTGTAATCGATTCCGGATAAATACTATAACCTCCTTATGCGTCACAAAGGAAAGAATTACAGTACCATTTGTTGGCTTAATCATTCACAACTTTTCTTAAAATCACGCAATGCATTAATCTGTATATTTCTACTTAGTAAAATAATAATCACATTATGATATTTTTTATAGGGATTCGGATTAATTTCACTTTCGATTGCGTCACGACTCTCAGTATCAGGCAGAGAAAGAGAGAGAGAATAACTGAAAAACAAAGAGTACGAAATCCATAATCTAAATATCATTATCCAGTTTATTAGTAACTACTAAATGCGGGCGGGGGGCGGGCAAGATATCCTGAAGTTATAATGAGAAGTCGTAGTCAGAAAAGGGTCCACTATATATGTTACAAAGTGAAGCGGACATTCATCGATGGCATTAGTTGGTGGAAGCACTACACTATGAATTGATAGATGTTATAAATAGTGACACAATAGCTGAATATTCAACAAGCTTGACCTTATAATCTGAACATTCCGGGTCACGTGTGAAACTAGGAGGAAACAGCTATCCATTCTGTAATCGGTATTAGTTCTCAATGAAATCTAACTGTCCTTCCCCTTCTGAAAATAAACAAATAAATCACAACTTTCAGTGTCATATATAATCATTAAATTAAGGTAGAGTTGCTAGTGAGTGGGTGTACGAGTGAATGCACGTGATGTTCATAACGAATTGTTATTAATAAGATCTATTGATCATTGAATTCCTCGTCAACTCTTGTTTGTTTATACTAATTGAACAGAAAAATAAAGGGCAACAACAAAACGAAAGCATTTTTTCTTCTATACCATCATGCGTTATAATTACTGTTTTATTTAACAGCAAAACGAAATATAAGCTTTGAAGTATATTTACCGGCTGTAAAATTTCTTTCTCATAAACTGGAATGAATTATGTTGTGAAAGAAGATTTTATTCATTTTTTTCTGTTTTGTTTTAAAGTTTATGCCGAGATAGTTTGATTTTCTTTTTGAATAAAAGACAGAAAAAGAACTCGATATCGATAGTGCTAATCTTCTTCAGTTTTGAATCTGATCATTGCTCTCTGTTATTGATTATTAAAACATATACGTATATATGATGGTTCCTTTTGCAGTACGCAAATCTGCATTATAGAATAAGTGTGAAGCCATACTTTATTGATGTGTATGAAACCATGCTGATAGAGGTGATAGAGTTGTACACTACTCACACATCACTCACCAGTAGTACTTGTTAGTCAGCCAGCCAGCCAGATCGAAGTGTTCTAAACACCAGACGAACAATCGTTTCGCTCGTTTTTGGCCGAGTTCATCAACAGTGTGCCCGGTTTTACTAAGCCCAGGAAAATTAATCAGCTCAAATCATCTGGATATAATATCGCTGATGCACTCGACCTCAAATGAGGGAAACACCCTACTGATGTTCATATCACTAACAAGTACTACTGGTGAGTAGTATACAACTACTCATCTCAACCAGTCAGTAGTGTGTGTGGTTTTATGAAAAAATCTTTTTTCCTCTTTCTTTGTGTTTTAAACGCTGTGTTAAATTGGTGAAAAATCATCGTTTTCAGTTTTTACTATGCCCTAAAGTAGATCAGATCAATTCCACCAAAGAATAATTTCAATTGATTAAAAACACATATTGAGTGAAGGATACAGTATTTTCAGATTAAGTTGACTGTTCAAAGTGTCTTCATAGGACTTTCAGTCATGGTCAAGCCATTCACAAACACTCTAATGTTCCACTTGTCCTTATAAGGCTTTCTTCTTTTCATTCCTTTGCGTTCCGAGTGGAATATACGGCTTCAAGCTTGAGATTTTAGTAGCGTTAGAGTTGTGTTTTCTTTACAGGGAAGCGGGGGGGAGGGGTGGCGGTTGTTGCTAGCTTCACGACCAGCTAGGCGAAGTTCAGGAATGCATCGGTCGGGAATTGAACCCGTGGTCCACGTCTACCGTTGACGAGCATTCATATTCAACCGCTGAATCACTGACGCAAGGTTTATGTATATTCCAGTTATCTCTTATCAGGTGTTGTTCATTAACAAGCTTAATACTAATCTTTCTTTTTCATATTTCTTCATGTTTCGTTTTTTTTCTCACGTAATCTGCTATACATATATACACATAAAAATGCTCTTCTTTAATCGATATTGTGATGATCTAACATGCTTTTAATGGTTTATTGTGTTATTATTTGTTTCACTTTATTTCGCTTTGCTTATATGTTAATCTTAATTACACTAATTGTTTTTATCAATAGGAATTCTCAAAACTAATACCTATCTTTTTTATTATCATGCTTCTTCCTCTACTAAACACAGATCACACTCATCCACTCAGAGATCTGGTCAATCACCTGTATTTGGATCAGATCAACGACTTTGGGATATACAAGTAGAATATTGGTCTATACCTAGTCATACTACTACTACAACTAATACTTCGTCGAACTCCAGTACTCAAAGTAACCAAGTTAACACAGTGTCTGGTAGTGCTAGTAATACTATTGTTCCTTGTCCTATAAGTTCACCAAGTACAATATCTGATACGGTTTCACCGCCTCGACGTTCTACTCTCAAAACTTTATCCCCTGGGCTAGTTGTTACAATAGACTCGTCAATTTCTTCAGCGAGTTATGCTGCATCTCCTCTACGTGGTGGTGATATATTCGGTGTTGGCACAGAACCTAATTCTAGCAGTGTAGTACACTCACCACTTCGGCACACACCATTTAATCTCGGTCAAACGCATTCTCAGCATTTAGTTCTTGGATTATGGACAAAAGAGAAAAAACAGAAAAGTGAGTATATTGTGGTGTGTGTGTGTGTGTCTGTGTGTTGATGTTAGATAAATCTTCAGTTTCGTTTGTAGAAATGATACTTCCCTGTATGTTAGATTAGTTTCAGGTCAATCAGTTACACTTTATTATTTAAATTTGAGGGAGTATGAATCCCTGTTCAAATACAGTTGATCACTGTTGAATTGTTTTTGATCTCATTTCCTTAGACATAGTTACCAAGTTACATATTAGACAATTTTATATGGCATAACACACAGTAATACAGCTGGTTGTAGAGTACTCGATTCAAGGTGTGATGTGAAAGTGCTAGCAGGTAGTGGACCAAACAGAGACTCCATAGTTACTTCGTCTTGTAGTCGATATATTTTAACATTAAACACAAATTGTACGTTGAGCGTACATCCTTAGTATTAGTTGCTGAATATATTTAGTGGGTATTTCAACATATAAATTACTTGAATCAATAAATTTACATAGACAGGATACTGTATCTGTCAGAGGAACGTTGGTGAACAGAGAGATGGTATCCAATGGAGCCATAACCTTGCCAAACACATTAATCTCATTTTCAAGTATTGGTTTTGGAAGGATTTTGTTTGATTGTATGGAGGATGTCATCATGAGCTGACATCAGTTAGAGAACTACTGGAAATCCTGGGTGTATTGGACAGCTGTTTCGTCCTAGTTTGGTACCCTTCAGCAGTACGCACCCACCGGGGTTCGAACCCAAGACCTTCTGGTTACAAGGCAAACTCGCAGACCCTTAAGCCACTGGAACCTGGTCCAATGTTACACGGCACATATGTCGTGAATTGGTAGAAGTTAGAACTCAAGAACCATTGGATTGGGTCCCAGTGGCTTAATGGTATACGAGCTCGCCTTGTAACCAGAAGGTCCTGGGTGCGTACTGTTGAAGAGTCCCAAACTAGGATGAAACAGTTGTCCACTACACCCAGGTTTTCCAGTGGTTCTCTAACTGATGTTACCTCATGATGAAATCCTCCATACAATTAATCCCATTTATTGAGTTCACATAATCAAAGAGTATGTGTGTCACCATTATCTTTCAAGTATGTTCTGAAATTTCTGCTGACCAAATCGGGGACTACATAAAATCGCAAAGTGATCTAAACATATCCTAAAACTAGATGCATAGGTAATTCTTCTTTGTGAATAATCAGCTGTTTCACTATTAGGGACACTGTTGTCTTTTTCTCCAACTGGATTTATGAACTTGGCGTCGTCACTGGGAAAATTGTTCAAATTCTCTTATATATAATCTAATTAGTTTAGTCTGTCTGTCTGTCTATAACACTTTGATAAATCTATTAGCATTAAATAGCAAAACGTCAGTAAAAACAATATCGTTTTGTTTTCATTCATTGGAAAATACAAAAACCTTTATTATAATGTCTTTCTGTCTGTTTTCGACATAGAACTTTGCACCGGTGTGTGGCAGTTCAAGTCTCCATACACCATGTACCACACAAAGCAAGAGAAGAAAGTAGAAGAAATGCATAATAGAGATAGTTAAACAGAGGTGTGAGACAAAGGAATAGTAATAGCGAAGAACAATATAGTTTAGTTGGAAATTGTAAGTCACAGGGAGTGGACGCATCTGCACCAGCCATTGAGAACGATTATGAGCCATATCACCAATTGTTTCCAACCATTGGTTTTAAGCGTCCCGAGGACCCCAACCAGAAAGTCTACACCTTCCTACGTGGCTTAAACTAACTGGTGCCATGTTTTGGTTTGACAGGCCGTCAGCTGTTTTCCAGCCTTACCCTATGCCAGTCAGCTTACATTGCCCGTCGAGGAAGGCGATGACTAGGCATACATAACACATGTCTTAACCATCTCAGCCGATGTAGCTTCACAGCCTCGTTGATTGATTTCCCCTCCTTACCTAGCACTCGACGCCTAACCTCAATATTACTCACCTTATTATACCACTTCACACGGGAGATAGAGCGCAGGCACCTACGCGATTTGTTTAGTCAGACAACTCTACTACCTTTATCCGGAAGTGTACATTGATCATGCTCCTTATTTATTGATCAGTTCTTTCATTTCTCTAATGATGTGTTGCTTAGTCACAAGTCAGTAATATTTCTCCTTCGAATTATTAAGTTTTTTTTTACATCAATAATGATAATAATTTATGTTTCACTTTTTGTATGAATATAAACCAATACACTCATTGTTAATTTTTATTTTTCTAAAAATATTTTGTTTATAATCATTTTTTCCCAGTTATGCTCATCGGTCGTAAAGGTAAAGGATTTAGTTGTCGTTATGAATTAATCAATGGCATACAACGTCTTCTATGCACTGGACGGGGTTGTAATTTTCATAATACCAGTTTATCAACTAGTACAACTGGTGGTAGTGGTGGTGGTGGTACTAGTGGCACTGGTGGGACAGAACGTACAAAAGATACTGAATCTAGTCAACGTAATGCATCAAGCATCTTTTCATCATCAGTAGATTCATCAAATATTTCACCGTCTGTTGAAGGTAAAGCGTCAAGTTCAATCTCTGCATTAGGATTAGCCCTAACTGGTGGAGGTGGTGGGAGTAGTGGTGGCAGCGGCGGTAATTCAGGCTTTGGAATTAACACAGCTAATACTCTGATGCGAGGTTAGTTTTACACTAAAAATGACTTTTCTGTTTCTAAAATGTATTTTTGAGTTATAATTGTTTTATGTTATAAGTATTCAGCGACAACAACAGCAGAAACATCCAGAACCAATCACCATCAACGGGAGGGATTTAAACGAGGTTACTTCATTCACTCATCTAGGGAGCATTGTCGCAACTACAGGAAGTCGGAACGGACGAGGATGTCAAATCGAGCGAGAATCGGGAAGGTAGGCGAGAAACACATTCATCAACCTGAAACCAATCTGGAAATCTTCGTCACTCAGGCAGCATCAACAACAAAATTCGGTCGGATTTTCAATACAAACAGCGTCAAGTCAGTCAGTTTTTCTATACGGATCAGAAACTTGGTGGGCGGGTCACAAAGAATATTTCCATTAGGCCATTGCAGACTTTTATCAACAACTGTCTTCCCTCTATACCGAAGATCAGATGGCCGGGCCGAAAAGAATCACCAACAAGAAACTATGGGTGGGAACAAACAAAACAAGAAACAATCGCCCAACGAATATGCAGGAGAAAGTGGAGATGGATTGGACAGTCGCTGAGGAGGCCACTAGGCGACATCGCGCGTCAGGCCATTGCTGGAGTGGAACCAGGCCGAAAGGGAAGCGGCTAGTGGGACGTTAGTGCAAGGTTGACATGGACGAGATCGCGTGAAGAGGGGTTTGGACAGTATGGACTAACATGGATGCAGGTGAAAAGTACAGCAGAAGGAAGACAGAAGTGGCAAGTGGAGACGTGCAGTTGAAGCCCTATGTTCTGCTAGGAACCCAAGGGAACGAATATATATATAGCTATTCAGAATAAGAATAAGTAAAGTGAACAATTGTTTTCAATAGATTCTTCTTCAGTTTCTATAGTTTTTCAATCCATTAATGTTAGTATACAGTAATTGCCAGTAAAAGGGGAATTAGAATTATCAAGTGTTGGATCTCATAGATTTGATTGATTCCCAGTTTGATCACGAAATGATATCACTTAGAGAAGCATTGAAAACTATCAGGGAATATTGGGTAGTTTGTTTCGTTCTAATTCGGGACTTTTCATCAGCATTCACTCATCATGAGGCTGCCAAGGATCGAACTGGGGACCTTTTAGTCATGAGGCGAACCCATTGACGGTTTATTCGCTGGGATAGAATCCAATGACCGATTCACTCTAACTTCTGCTGATCCACAATGTATATAACACAACTACCAGATCCTGTTATGCTGTTATCAGTAACTGTTTTTCATGCTCAACTTAATGAACCTCTCTAGTCATAACTTCATCTTGTAGACAATCACTAGTGTGTAAGCATTAAATTAATTTTCTAGTGTTAATTTCAAGTTTGTTCACAAAATGATGTACACTGATGAAGAGAATATCAAGACTAGAACGATACCTCCGTCTTTCCGATACTCCCTGGTTTTCAATGGGAGGGGTATTGTAGTACAAATAAAAAGGGGGTGGGATGATATTCAGAGTGAGTTTTGATTACCACTGAAATGCACTACAAAATGTTAGAACATGAAATAAAATGTGGCAATATAATTCAACGACATGGTTGCATATTTATCAACAAAAAAGGGTATACCTTTGATGAGGGGATTTATAATCAATGGTGCAAGTGACAGTATGAATACAATAGACAAAAATAAATAAACAAATGGGATATGCTAGATGTAGTTTCTGTAGGTGACAAGTGAAAATAACAATAATAATAAAAGTATGGTAAAAGTTCACAAAGATAATATTTCTGAAGGATTCGCAATAAATTGGAAGGGTTAAAGGAATCTTGTGTGAATATAATGATAAATGTGGAGAATATTACCTAAACTAAAAGACTTCTTGGTGATGCAATGATTGAATGCTCGCCAACCATACAGGCGGTCCAGATTATATTTCCGGCTGACACACTCCAAATCTTTGTGTAGTTTTTACTAAGTGATAGTAAACTAGGAAAGAAGAGAAGATTGGGCACGATGTTAGCAACCCTACCCCCATAAAATTAACATCAGTGCTACCGGGTACACCATTAATGAGTTCAGTCCCAAACGAGCGAAATGGCCGTCCGATCTTTAGATTACATTGATCTGGTTAACAAGCATTACTGTTTAAAATGAGCGGTATGCAACTATTCGTCTTAGTCAATCAGTAGTATGTGGATTTATGCAAATAAGTCAATTTTGTTTTTCCTATTGATTGATTGGACCGAAATTTCGACTTATCAGCTGATAGTACAGACGCCTCGATGATGTCTGAGAATTAACATGATGTTATTTTAGTAGACAACTTACCGACTGGTTTCAACATAGAACTTTGCAATGAAGTGCAACGCAGTTCAAGTTTCCACACTCCAGGTAGCACAGCATATTGGAGAAAAGAGATTTAAGAGAACTATAGTTAGCAGAAATGTGAGAGAGAGAGAGAGAAAAAGTAGTAACATAGGAAAACAACAGTGTCTAATGAATGTGACAGATCACTAAAGGTGACTGCATCTGCGTCACCGAGAACAATTTCGAACCATATCACCAACTGTATCGAGTCATCGGTTCTTAGAATACTGAGGAGGACAATCAGGCAGCATACATCTCCCTACATGGTTCGAATTACCTTTTAAAGATTTCATGAACTGGTGGATCGTAACTACCATCTGTGTTATCCAAGATGAGCATTTCATTCGAAATAATGGGTTGTGGATTCCCGAACAACATCGCTCACCGAGGCCTGCAGAGATACACATCCAGCTGACGAGTCCGAAATAGGACGGAATTTTCATCCTGGATTCCATGCACCTAGTCACTATCGATCAAATGTGTTTATCAATTATAATAATAGTAGTAGTGAATAACCATCTCGGTATCTAGAACACTCATGACAGGAAATTGGGTAGTTCCTGTTAGAGAACACTTTACATTGTTATTATTATTGCATTTATTTATTTATTATATTTTTCTTCTTAAATCTACAGTTTCGATTGACGGTGTTGAATGGACAAATTTAAAATTCTTCCAAATCACTCCTGTCTGGCGTACACATGTGAAATTTTTCCCTGTTGCCCTTTTAAATAATACACCAATAATTGGTGGAGATACAGCGACAGCGGCTTCGGTGAGATGATAGGCGTTTTGTTTTTTATTCGTCCACCTTCCTGTCTCCCTCAAACTCTGCGCGAATTTACTTTAAAGGTGATGGTGGCGATGATGATGGTGATGTAATTTCTTCTTGTTATTTGCTGTTATTTGTCCGCGCTTGTATTTTTTTAATTCCACTACACTTATTTTCACACTAAATAAAATCTCTGAGCTTTGTACTATACTATGCTACACTGTATATCATAACAGTTCAGATGAGTAAAAATGAATGAATGAGATACTTGATTTCTCGTAAATGCATTTATCTTTTTTGTATTATTGTCATCATTTTAGTTGTATTTGTTGTTATTATCGTCGTCGTCGTCGTTTTCGCTGGCTCTTATTCATCTCCTCTCAGCTTATTCTGTCTTTCGATGAAGCGCATTCATTGTCTTCCATACAAATATACATATGTACACTGTATTTGTTTGTTTGTTTGTTTGTTGGTCAATTTCGATTCCCGCCTTTTTTTCGTTTCCGTGTGTGTGTGCTTGTGTATGGCGCGCTTTTTATGTATTCTTCAACAAGGTTATTTTTATATACATATATATATATACGTATGTGTGTTAATGTCTTTTGGTATCCTTCTCTATTTACCCCTCTTCTAGCAGTTGATTTATATATATAACGATACGTATATCTATGCTTGTGTATTGTTAAATCACACTGTGGACTACCTAATTATACGTTTTCTGCTTTGCTTCTTTTTTATGCCCTAATCATATGATATGATATGATCTCTCTCTCTCTCGCTGTCTATCTCTTTGGTGTCTTCTTCCCTTTGCTCTTATATATTTTGATGCACAATGGATTTCATGCTTTTTTACAATTTGCTTTGGTTTGCTTTATTGTTTATATCTATTCGAAGTTTGTTGCTTTTTTTTGCTCTGTTCAGATTCTTTTTTGTTCTGGCTTTTATCTTCTCTGATTGTCATTGTATTACTATTATTATTATTAATGAATGGAAAGAACTCAAATATCCCTGCAATCCAAACATTTTGATGTATAAAAACAAATCATACATATATGGTATGGTCAGTATATAAAGTTTAGCCGATTTCATATTTCTTACGGGATAAATGTCCAATGAGTATTAAATTTATATTGTAAATGTAATCGGTTATAATCCATCACTTTTTTATATGTCATGAGAGCGTGTATAACAATTATTCAGTGACGTATAGATTTTATGCTACAATATTTACATATATACAGTTTGTGCATTCATATATATATCTGAAATTGTGACTGATTACTGGTATATCTGAGGATTTCCTCGATCACATCATCCATACTGAGTCTCATATCGGATTCTCGAGCCCTGCCTGCTTCAGTCAGATAGTCAGTCAGTCACTCATTACCCCGCCCCCCCCCTCCAACAGTATGAAAATGCATCTGGCCTTAAAAAGTGTATTTCATTGCATAATTGTCTTTGTTTTTAGGCATTCACTTGATCAGTAGTTAATATTTGTCATTAGATAACACAACCAGCTGATCAACTGATTGAGTGATTGGTTGTTTTACAATACTAACCTTAACCTAATTAGATTTTATCCAAAAAGAGATAAAATTAAAGAAGATAAATATATCCATCAGTTCAAATGAAATCCACCAATGAAATTGTTTAAAACAAACTTTAAATTTTAGTAATATTGTACATTTATTTATTTATTTCTTCATTCATTCATTCATTCATGTATGCATCAATTGTCTTTCACAGAACAACTTCTATATATATATATATATATATATATATATATATATATATAAATGTACATGCTGTTGGACTAATTAATATCAAGCCAGTCTCAGATATCTTTCTTTGTGTATTTCTCCATATGTGTGTATGTGTGTGTGTGTTTATGAGAGAGAGAGAGAGAGGTACAACGTGTATATTTGATACCGTTATGTGTGTTCACATTATTATTATTATTATTGTTGTTTAAATCATGTTCTTTTACTCTTTACAAAATGAATAATCAATTACACTAGTAGTTGTAGTAGTGGTAGTTACTTCATCATAGAATAATAATGCTTTGTATGAATTTCAACAATAATTGTATAAGTTGTTGTATGATAACTCTTACATCTGTTTGTGCATGTGTATGAATGACACTATAATGCATTTCTTTGTTTGCTTGACTGTCTTTTTTTTAATTTTGATACTTATATGTATATGTAAAAAGTATAGGTTTTCATAATTTCTCAAAGAGTTTTCAGAATTTCTGTGCGTAAAATACATATGTATACACACATATATATGTATGTGCTTGTGGTTCTCTGTGACATTCAATTTTCTTATTTGAGCATTTTATTTTCTGCTCTCTTTACCTCTCTTTCTTTTGAATGTGATTATGAAGTGTGTTGTCTTTAGGGTTACATAACTCATTTCTATCTTTGTCCTGCTAACTGTTGTTGCTACTATTGTTGTTGTTGCTTCGTTTCTTTTTCTTTTATTCCTTTGCATTCTGAGTGGGCTTCAAATTTTGAAATTTCAATAGCCGGCGATGTTGTTTTTGTTTTTTTTCTACATTATGGAGCGGTAGGGGCAAGCAACCCTAATCTCACGCCCCATGTTTGGCCTTCGCTCTTTCCCACCACCTAAACGAGACTTTCTAGGAATACACCGGTCGGAGGCATCGAACTTTGGACCATGTATACGTATTTGTTATTGTTGTTGTTGCTGCTGTTGTGTTTTTTCCAGCTTCCAGTTTGTCTTACTGTAATTTTAGTGTATCCTTCAAATTGTCATTCTTGCTGTTTTCTTTTTTAATTAATACAGTTTTTTTCTGTTTTTTTTTCTGTTTCTTTTCATGTGATGATACAATTTAAATTTGTTGGGTTTTCTCCTTTACAACAAAAGATTACCATTTGACTAAGCTGGTTGGTTATTCCATGTCTTCTTTTGTATGTATTCTGTTTACGTCATCTATTTTTTGTACCTTTCTCTTCTTCCGCTTCTTCTTCTTCTTCTTTCCTGCTGTTTTCTTCTGAAAATATCTATTCTATTATATATTTATTTAACAGAAAAGAATTATATATATAAATATATAGGTATATGCTGACAACTCTCATATATATGTTTAAATATTATGGGGAGAGAGTATATTTCTGGATTACAAATTACTCTTAGCAACGATTGTGTACAATGATTAGGGGTGGAAGTGACAAAAGCTAAAGAGATGCGGGGGCGGGGGGGGGGGGGGGAAGAATGTCGGTGGTAGGGTAATGTCAGACAATTATTTAGATTAATTGGGGGGAAAAGGGGTTGTAAGCAACAAAACAAAAATGTCGATGATGAGCGAAATGATTTCTGAGAAGAAGAAGAGACAACTGGAACTTTGGAGGGGATATTTCAACTGACCTACAGCCATGCTAAATGTGTCTAGTATCCAAACATTTGTCTGTGTTTTGGGGTGTAGACATCGGTTATCCAAATGTAACTGAGGTTGCAAAGCCTATCTGTAGTATAAAAAGATGGAATTCAAAGTGAGACATGTCTTGCTTGCTGTGATAATCATAAGAGGATTAATTACCTTGACTAATGTTGTATCTAAAATTCTAGGTTCAGTAATCACCCATATATTGAGTGGTGCTCATGAGAAACAAACCTATGTAAATCAAATATGGTTTAGGTTAGAAAGAGGGTGTCTCCAGTATATCTTCACCCTTCGATTGATTCTGGAAGATAGGCAAACTTACCGGCGTCCAACGATTGCACTATTAAGTGATTTGAAGTCGGTATTTCACTCAGTCGATCAAAATGTGTTTTGGCAGTGTCTAGCCATGTAGGAAGCGCCGAGAAAGTATATTGCACTAATCAAGTCACTCTACTCGAACTCATGAAGCGGTGTAAGCAAGTTTTCATCTGAAATGAAAAAAGCCAGTGGTGTCCATCAGGGATACCCGTTGTCCCGATTTTCGTTTAATTTCATAGATGTACTAATGAGAGTGATCTCAATCGGATTTGACAACTTACAGATTGACTTACTATTAGAAAATAGCCTTGTCGATTTGGATTAAGCGGATGATATAGTCCTTGTAGGTGAAGATGCTGAAAGATTGCAGTCTTCTGAGCAGACTGAAATTTGCCAACTTAAATCATCTTTGGCGTAGATTTGGTATCTGGCTATCGATGAAAGGTCGTCTCTACTGAGCAGCAGTCCACTCTTTAAGACTATGAAACATGACTGTTGAAAGTGTAAAACATATTAGTCGTTTTTGACCATAAATGTCTAAGTTCTATCTCCTGTGTCAAATGGTATATTACGGTGAGTAATATCGAGGCTGCGTATAAAGTAGTTGGTAAGTAGGGCAGTTCAGTTGACGAGGATATGACGCTAAATCGCTTGAAGTGGCTAGGAAACATGCTATGCATGTTGAGCCACTGCCTTCCACGTCCAGCAATATCAACGGATATCGGATTATATTGCAAAAGGGTTGTGAGTGACGAAACCGAAACATAGGATCTATCCTGACTATCGGTGCGAGTCACGTAGGGAGATGGAGATTGCTTGATCTAGGTCCTCAAGACGCTAAGAACTAGTGGCCTGCGACTGTCTGTGATATGGCTCAGATGCAGCCTCTCCATTAGGTTTTCATTATTCTCCACATCCTAATTCTTTCTGCTAAATATTCCCGTTCATTGCAGCTCCTTTGAATTTTTTCTCTAGCTATGCGTATCACATGGAGTGTAGGAACTTGAACTGCTTCATCTCTATGCAAATTTTACACCTTGAAAACTTGGTCAAGCTTAGATTTTAGTGTTCCACAAAAAGTGAATTGATGAGTCAGTAAACCCATATAAATGGACTTGGTATTCCCCCATCTAGGTATACTTGCATTGTATTCATACACTTCAAAATTTTGCCACTTCCGTAGTACTACTTCAAAGAGTTTTTGAAAATTTTATGACAGATATAATGAAAGTATTAGTATGTGTCATATTCTGATTGATTATTCAATCGCCAAATGTATCATAATTAGCAGAGACAATCTATTTGCATGACAATTGAAAAGACCGAATTATCATTGGTGATGAAGATGCAGAGAAATTTACAAGATCTATAAAGATTAGATGACCTGATCAACTATTGAGCACAATAGTGGATTTAAGGTGATGCCTTATTGATTGAACGATGATTATTCACATTCATAATTTTTACAGATGACAATGATTAGACTGCTCTTAGAGACGTACATTGACTATTTATCAAAAATGTGCACCATTTTGGTGTCGAGTAGTTCCAGCAAGCGATTACATGTGGCTTAGAATAAGATTTAGAGGGAAGTATGAGTTAATGCATTAATATATATATATATATATATTTTCTGTAATTAATAGTGTTTTCTGAGCCGGTTGGTTTAGTTGCGGGGATTTCGTCGTCCTTCTGGCTAACATCTTCAGCGCGATTTTTAGCATAAAGTGAACTGATTGAAATTTTCCATCAGTGATAGAATTGCGTCTCCCGATAACCATCTTTACATATGTATTAATCATTTTTATTGACTTGGATTTTTATATTATATATATATTCTCTATTATATAAAGTTTCTGGGGTTTAGTTCTTCCAACTGTAAATTGCTTAGCTGAGGGGTATCACTGGATAGGAGTAGATGAGCATGTGGTGAGAGCTGGCTGCTAGCCAAATTGATAGACAGTAATTTACGTCAATGTTTACGTCCTCAATATTGGTCGTGAGAAAAATAAGAACAAAGGCTGGTTCAAAAACCAACCACGGCAGACTGTGTGTAGGCGGGTACAATTAGCATATAGATGGCCTAACATTCAAGAAACAGTCACAAAGAGATGAAAGATCAACTTTCAGTGAGAAACAACCAATCAGAAGACTGTATTTGTTTGCTTAAATAATCTATAACAATGTACATGAAAATTTATAAATATGTGTTGATTTCCTTAATAAACGACCTGTTACCTGGCCCTTGTTTTCTGTTGTTACAAGCTGACGCGTGCATATTAAAGAGGCCAACTATAACAAGTTGTTCTTTATGCTTACTCGAGTTGTAGATTGTTTGGGGAAAATAAGTTGTCTAACTGCGCAAGACAGACGATTTAAATATGTCTGTGCTGAGATGAGTCTCTGTTAAACTGTACATTTAAGATAAAGCGCAACATTTTAGCTACAGAAGTGTATGCTGTTTATTTGGTCTCAGCATCATCACCCTTCAGAATGAGTTGTTCGTAATAACTGTTGTTTTTTAAATGAAGATTTTTTGACAGTATTTAGTTCGTTCTTGATGCCATTTGGACTGATTCTGTGGCAAATAGGCAAAGATTGCTTGCACTTATTCAGCGTTGCAAATTAGTCAACTGTCTGTTAGACGAAGATCTCCTCTGAGTAGATTTTAGTGCAGTTAGGATTCCCGGCTTTCACCCAGGGTTCGACTCCCGGCGCGGGAGCGCTTGTGTGTCGGTGGCATAGCGGTCAGGACGCTAGCCGACTATGCACATGTTCCGGAATTCGATCCCCGGCCGACGCACTCCTTTACTTCGCTAAACCAGAAATAATGCTGGTAAAGAGGAAAGGTTGGGCATGGGGCTAGCAACCTCATCCTGTAAAATGAACACTGCTATAGAAACTTCAAGCTACTAGCTTGAAGCCCTATGTTCCACTGGGGAACGTGAAGGAAAAAAAGATTTTAGTGCTTTGCTACTGCTTTAAATCAGTTGTACATGTACGTTTTGCTACAGAAGCAAGAATTAACACCTGGGGCCCATCTCAACATGAGCCTTTTGAAATAATGAGTAGATTTTACAGTGTCTAGTTCATAAAAGTTAACACAATCATTTTTGTAAAAATATTGTTTCAGTTGTTGAAACGTTCGCGAGCAGAGAGACTATGTTTCATGAGAAAGTGATTTTTATCCGAGCAGTTAAACTTATCACTGAAATTAAAGAATTTCAAAGAAGTCTGAGGGTGAATGAAAAGAAACCTGCCTCCTATTTAGTCTCAAAAGTCTACGTAACCAGCTGGTAATCTAATAGTAAGGTCGTCATTACATGTGAAGAATGTATCGGAGAAATATGCTTTCCTTGTATACGTTCAGTAATAATATAATATATATTTCTTCCTGTTTATGCAGGAACATACCAATTGTACAGGCATGGATAAGTTATCATATAAATTACACATAATTTGGTGTGATGAATTTACAGTGTGGTTGTTCTTTCTGACATTAGAGTCCATCGGAACAGTCTGCTATAAAGTCTGTTTGTGCAACAAATAAAGAAATATAGAAATATTGTCTTCGCATTAAAAAAAACCCAGACATCAGATGGATGTAATACAAATATCTGGGAAAAATAAAGCTTGAAGTCAATTCTCCTATATAACTTTGTTGTGAACAGCACCCATGGCTTGAAGTTTATTGATGTATTATGTTGAGATCAGTGATATATTTATTACATTTTTGCAGCAGTCTTATAGTAGTTTTATAACAGGAAAGAAATTTGATCGTGGATGCGAAAACTAGATAAGCTCATATTAAGTTGTTTTACTGCATCAAATGGTGCCGAGGTCGATTCCAGAATTCTCCATTTGCTCCATTTGTGTCTGCATGGCGGACTGTATTCGTAAGTTCAGTAAAATGTTGAAAACCAGTTGCTTCTTCATTTCAGATCATGAATACTCATTTACAGCATGTTCGCCAGCGTCTTCAAATGGTAGAATTAGATCGTTCATGGAATTTGAGTGGTTATGAGATAGATGGTTTGGAATTAATCCTCATTTCAGTTTCGATGCAGGGTTTTTCGACCTCGACCAGAAGATGAATAGGAGCAGCAGAATAGCAATTCATACAGTATGAAGACATTTGATCCTGTCGGTTTTAGGATACTTTTCATGATACCAAAATAAATCTAGGGCCAAAACTAATATAGCAAACCTAATCAATTTCTCATTAACTAAATAAACGTCTAACCCGCCTGTGGATGCTTAAGACGTTTTAATTTTTGTTTTAACGGGCAAGCATTCCTTCAGTCTCGGATGCCATTTCGCGTTCCTCCTTTGCTCTGATAACAATCGAGGACCATGAGTCCGTATTTCAGCCACACCAACCAGGTAAGCTATAAAATCCTTTCCCTG